TCGCTGAGCTGGGCAATTTGATTTCAAACGTTTCATCACCAATCGAGGTGACATCATCACCACCAACCCACCGCTACGCACTACTACGCTCCACAATAACGCACTGATGACGTCACCTCGATTGGTGATGAAACGTTTGCAATCAAATTGCCCAGCTCAGCGAACAAGCCAACGACTACCATTCCGATCTCTATTTTACAGAAGCCACCACATCTTCAAACTGGAATAATCGCTCCCGCGAGACGTCTGAAGTAGGTTTGCAAATTCATTATCCATGTTAGTGCAGTGTCTGGTCTCCGGGATTGTCGGATGGTGGTGGACGCCACTGATGGTCGATCGAGTGACTTTGGATCGGTTTTTGTGAGTAGGCTAATTCGATTGGTTTATAAGGCTCTACTCTAGTTGGGATGTGTTTTGCTGTTTTTAGTTGAACTCGCCACATATGTCCCAACCCAGCTTGGGGGGCCAGGCGGTGGTATTCGGCATACCTCTTACGAGTGGCCAACCTGGTATGAACGACTCCGATTTCCTGGGGTTACGCCCCACTATTTACTTCGACGCTGGAGGGCCGTTCACCCCATAGCTGTTCTCTCCAAGCCCGGTCCTTGATGGATGCGACCGAGAGGTGGTCATTTTATCGCCCGGCAACATATCACTAAAACACTAACCAGTCAGATGGTCGTTGTTTGTTCACTGAGCTGGGAAATCTAATTGCGAACGTTTCCTCGTCATTGGAAGTGACAACATTCGTGCTAAGTTCAACTACGCTGCCTAACAGCTCATTGATGGTGTCGATTGGTGATGAAACGTTTGCAATTAATTTGCCTAGCTCAGCGAACAAACCAACGACCATCTACGTTACTTGAGCCATCAAAATTCCCATCAATGGCAAACCAGTTCGGGTGTACAGCGCTCGAGGAAGTTCGTCATAGGGAGAATTTCGCCATCCAACAAGCCTCTACACGTCATCAACCATACTTCCTACGTGAATGCGTACGTAGGAACGTGCGACCATCCAGTACTAATCACAGACCGCAACTAGACCATCCGCAGGCATGGGCCATAGCAAGGCAGCATGTCAAAAGAATGGTGAATTTAATGATCACAAACGCCTGGAGGTGTCTCAGGAAGTACGTACGAGTAATTGCTAACCACTCAAATCAGTCGGGTGGACGACTGCCGCCTCCCTGGATTGGGATTCCGGGATTCAAGTACATACTATTCAGGTTGAACCAGTAGGATATTGATACATTGAAACCCGTCACGCTCACTTTCACTCAGCCCTGACCGCGTGATTTTGTCATGTCTATCAGTGTCACTAACAGTTGACGAACTGAATCCTCGAGTCTCCATCCAGGGATGCGGCATTTGCCGACCCGACTGAGATGACTGGTTAGGTTTTCAGACTTCGTTACCAAGCCGCATGCTTTCTACCTCTCGGTTGCTTCCAGTCGGAAGAGGACTAAGCGGGGACAGATGTGTGAGTTAGAGCTTTCTTTTGCCTATGAAGTAAATGTCCTAACCATCGCAGCTTCATGGAAGAGTTCCTTTTTCCTAAACCGATCTCACTCACTTCAGTATTGATAATCCGATGTTCCTTCAAGACTCCCCCAATGCTTCAGAGACACCGTTTGTTGAACACCAGCAGCTTTTGTACGTCCTCTGCGAGTAGAGACCAAGTTTTTGATCCATGAAGCAGTATGAATCGCACCGCCGTTGTCCTTCACAGACAAACTAACGTTACATGGGCGCCATAAGTTTCGGACGGATACCGCGCAGTATAAATCAATGGATCGCGGAGGTATACAAACCGTGATACCACGGTAGGGTCTACTCTCTTCGTGTCAGACTAGGGACGAAAGCATATTATGTCCTGACACTCCTGTGCGTCCTCATGGAATGGAGATCAGGTGAAAAGAACCATACTGCTGAAGCACGGAATACATACCGACGACTAGCTCACTTTTTGATTCCTACTGACTTAATCATTACCAGAGCTTACGAACATGGTTGAGATGTTGAAAGATGTCATGCGACCATCACGCCCCTTGGTCAGCCCTGGTGGTATTGTTGAAGGAGAGAACAGAAAATTGTGTCTTTGTGATGACTAACAAAAATTAAATCATGTGACTCGACCTGATGTGTTTCCAATGCCAGGTGTCAACATTGAATTTGATCTTTGTGATTCCTGTTACGTTCCACCAGTAAAGTCCGCTCAACTGCGCTTGACCTTTGTATTCCAAACTTGTTACGCTGAGCAGTATCATATTAAAATTCTGGCATAAACCAAACCGACTCAGAACAGAGAATAGTCACCATTTACTTGGTCTAAAATAAGGACAACGTTCACTACGAAAAATGGTGGGCGTAATAAAAAGCAAATAGTGAATTTGTTACAAGAGAATGCAGATGTCTCCTGAGGTCCTCGTCATTCTAGTGGTCAGTTACCGATTGTTATTATATAATTGTTTTTATTTTGTTGTGTCGCCGATTCCTCATTTCCTTGTTCTCAAGACGATTAAAGCCTCCTTTCCAGGCGTGTCATTTTCCCATCCATACTCGTGAAATCTGCCTAGGACTTCTTTAACCATTTACTCGCAACACTGTAATCCTCTTGAAAATCTCAGAAGTGGAACGACTTTGATCAGGGCGTTTCGACAGGAACCACTCACCGCATTTACTGCTCAGCAGCGGACTCACCGGTTTCAGTTTCTTTTCTTTAATCAAATTTGGCGCTAGAAACAATAACAGGGTCTGAGAAGCGGACGCGAAGCGGCAGGTGTGCACGATGACTTGCTATTATTCAGTTAAATTGAGGCAAGGCTGATATACATGTGGTTGGAAGTTGCAGAAATGACGTCAACGAATTTGACAGTAAGGGACTTAAGTCGCGTGCTCTCCCTGCTGTATCCAGTAGGTAAATTGACCCGGCTATTGACATCACATGATGGTCAGTTTGTCATGGGATCACTCGTATTCGTACGGTGTACGAATATCAGAATTTCCTGTCTCCTGACTTTGCTGGCTACCAACAACCTATCTAAGTGGGAAAGCGGGTGCGCTGTGATGAAACCTCCCGATCAGTTTTGCCTCATGGCCTCTCGCTCTGTGGCTTCTAAGATACTGATTTTTAGTGCATTCCATGAGACGTGACGGAATGTTGCTATATCAGATAAAGTAACTCCTTTTGAAATTTCGGTCGAGTCCGGTAAGGATCTAGTCTACACACTATCACTGCATTAATGCCGGTCAATCTGATATGATTTAACCCGTATGTTTTAGGTAAAGCCAGTATTTGCTCACCATTCTCATTCAGCGTAATACGGTAAATGTTCAGTTATACTTTGGTTAATTTTGTAAGTTTTAGTGAACAATTAGTGGTCACATGTATGCAAACCCCTTACCCCCTTATAAACCTCATCTCAGTTCACCCATTTTTTATTTCTTTACAAAGGTCTGCATTTACCTTGTTCTTCCACCAATGTGTCGTTGGTTTTTCTATTGATGAGGTGGTACAGAGGTCCTAGCAAAAAGTTACTCCGAATCAAAGTGACGTCACATGAATCAGAGCTGGAGTTTAACCTTTCGGTACGTATTTTTCCTCATGGGTCTTCTACCTGTTTCTCTCCAGTCCAAAAGCACGGGCAAATATCTTTTCGACTTGGTGTGCAGTACAATCGGCTTGCGTGAAACATGGTACTTTGGCCTACAAAGCTACACATTATTGCCAAATGGAAGAATGCGTCTTTCACAATGGTTAAAGTTGGATAAGAGGGTAGATTACCCGTGCTTAGATATCCCCCTTACCCCTCTCAGATTGTTTCACAGAAGGATGAGAATGGTCAAAAACTTCGATGCTTCTTTTTTCATACCAAATTTTTTCCCGAAGATATTGAACAGGAACTAATTCAAGCTACAACCCGCCATCTGTTCTACCTGAGTGTCAAGGCAACAATACTGAATCGGAACGAGACGAACGTCAATGGCAATCTTTCAGGTAATTTAGTTTTTGTGGTTTCCACTGACCGGTGAAATCATAATTTTACTTAGATAATGGTGGAGCATCCAGACTAGTGCACACCCAGTAGGCCTGCCTGTACTCTCCACCATTTCTGTGTGGTAGCTTTTCAAAAAATCAGTGGTAGCTTTATTTATTCCGCTGAGTAGATTCCAGGGAAGCATGCGAGAAGAAGCACTCTCTCTCAGCTGTAATACCTTCTGGCGCCTAGCTGCCATGCGACCCGAAGCACGAGGGCTGGGATACTGCCAGGTTGTCCAAGTGTAGATAGGGGAAGTCAAGAGACAGAAGTCGGGTTCGAACCACGGACCTCGCGCCTCAACCAATCGAGCCACCTCGCCCTAGTGACTGGCCTTCGTCCGAAATGTATTCACTGTTGCGCTGCATGATCAGGTTCGGTGTAACTGGCCCTCCTCCGTTGCTCTTAAACAGAACGTAAGTCTTTCAACTGTCATGGCTGAAACTCAAACTTACTCAGGTTGATTCAGAGGTACGTTTCATCGATAACTTGGTTCCTCCCATGTAAATGAGCTTTTTAAAATTATTTTCATTCATGGTCTTATATACAGTCTTCGCTAGAAAACGCACAGGTTTACATGGAGGTTGAAATTCGAACAGATACAGGTAGTTCAGCGGACACAGTCATGTCAGGAGTGTACATTGGAACTGCCTCTCATGGGGAATACGAAAGCAAACTGTTCAGATGAACCGTTGCTTTCCAGATCACCATGTGCTTTCTCGTCATGCCACCTGACCGCATGCTCAATTCAAGTCCCACCGGAATAGGATAGTAGACCGATACGATGTGACGCATGATGTAACAAATAATGTCAAGCCGCTTCAGAACCACTCTGTCGATCAACCTTATCGACTGTGGATAGCAGCCAAATGAATCAACTGAGTATATTCCTTTGATTCTTGATCGTTTGCGCGCTAGTGAACGAGTCGTTAGAAAATTCATCGTACCTATTGTCCATTACAGGTGACCTTTGTCCGAGCATGGATGTCGCAATTCTTCTTGCTTCGTTGGCCGCCCAAGTGAGTTTGCATTTCTCTAGTCTACCCACCAACACAACAGCCTTCAACGGGGATTTTTGCAAGATACCATTTGTAGGTTTTGTCTTCTGTCGTGATAATCTAGAAGTCTTATGTATGCAGTGGTGTAGACTGAATTTCGTTCGCAAATCCTCGATTGATGTTTTCGTTATTTCCCCGTTAGACTCGGTTTTCAGCTAGCCGTCTTTCTGACGCATCAAATTTGACATTGGGGTAATGTTACCCTGCCCTACTCATCCACTTCGAGTTGTGTGGCCGTTTTTGCCGACATCCGATCAAACATCACACGTGCATTGTATCGTCGCCGTCATCAGTAGCAATATAGCAGGGATCAGCTTCGGTGGAATAAGTCCATAATAAAGAGCGAATAGATATTGGGGTCTATTTCGAAAACTTTTAGTGTCCATAGCGAGAGCGGTTGAGAGGTTTGAAGATTCGCTCATCTCCCTCCACCAAGATCACCTTTTGGAAACGCAAAAGGTGGCTTTGGCTGCTGGTGATCCTTATGTGTTGGGACGGACAGATTTCTCTAGGAAATGAGGGTCCACCTTGCTTTAGTTTATGTTCTCATTTCTATTCTATTCCTAGCTCGTTACTTTTTTGCCACATGTTAATAAGTGCGGTGCCTTCTGTACGCACTCGTCGCATGGACATACTATTTTCTCCCAATCAAGATGGGAAAGTTTGAGAATCTGATTCATGGTCCCTTGGAGTATTCATGCCGATCGCAAATAAGATTGAGGTGGGACAAGGCTGAGCAACTCCACTAGTTGTAAAAATAATAGTCGTTCAGCCATAATACCCTTTCGGTGCCTGGCTTCTATGCCACCAGGAGGGACGAGGTCTGAATTTCTGCCAGGTCTCCCAAGCCTGGACATGAACAGTCGAAGTGAAGGGATTGGGTTAAAACCAACATGCCTTCCGACCAGAAAGTTTGCGCCTTAACCACTGAGTGATCCCGAGCTCCTTATTCATAGTTTCTGCTTATACGGCGTTGTTTTCATTGGTTATTATATTGCCTTCTATACGTATTTTTAATGCGGAGGATATTTACTACCTTACTTCTCTAACCAATCCCATAATCTGATGACGGGTCACTGAGCATGGTAGGCTGGCGCAAACTGTCTTCCAATAAAAGCTCAATGCAGAAATTGCCAAGGTCGTGCTTTGACGCACAGTCCTATCCATGCCAGCCGGGGTCTTAAACGGTCGACCAAAGTTAGATAGAGACAGCAGATTGTTCGACATTTACTCGCTGTTTATACTGTCTTATGCACGTTCTATGCGCTCCTGGATTTGTGGTAACGTAGAACAAATGATAAATGCACACAAGACAGCTATTATTAGTGGGCTGATATTATTCACGTGTCTTAATCGTAATGTACATGCACTGTGTTGCCAGGAAGAGGACATCTGCGCACCTAAGCAGCTTTAGTTTGGATGAAGTGCTTATTTCCATTCTTTGTTTCTTGTTTACAAAAAATTGGGCGATCGAGAAACGGTCCTTGAGGGTGGTAGTCTATAAATGGAAGTTTTTGTTAGGAAATGAATGTATCTACACCGTGCACATCAGGTGTGATTCGGTCAGTTAAGCACACGAAGGTTATGATTAAATCATCCTCCCGGCTAACTGCGGTTCTTCTATGTTTTTCCTTGAATTTGTCCACTGACCTTCCAATCAGATTCACGCTGTTTTTGTTTAGGTAGTTCAGACCTTCATTTAAACTTTTCACGCTCGGAAGCGAGCCCTCAATCTAGGTTTAGTCTGGTTGGTAAGCGTATCATTTTTGAATCCATGTTGCTTCACCATCTTTCTGGATATTGGCTAGTCGATCGTATCCACATTTCATCTGATGTTCGTGGAATTCCATTCACTAGAAGACAAACATGCAACTCCATTTGATCACCCTTTCCTACTTTTCCATCCACTCGGCCGTGATTTGTGGTGGTAGTGAGAAGTTCATACTACCTTTCCCACAGAACTGCCTCGTATGCTTGCGAGAGTTGTTTCGTTTCTGAGCCTACCTCACAGTACGACTTTTTTGTTTCTTCCGGGGTTGGAGTTGTCTCACATTTTGTATGTTTATGCCTTTTCTGGGAGTTTGATGCATTCTGGTTCAAAGAACGACCACTTTTCCCTACCATTATTATTACTCCTCCCCTCCCATTCGACTAGACTCCGGCTAAACTGACGGTCTTAAAAAATTTACTGCGACTTTTTCTAGCGAGAGTTAATCGGTTTTGTGATCCTTCGTCGAGAAATTTCACCGATTATAAAGCGTTTTCACACGGCTTATGTCCTCAGCTGCGATTGTTTTTGTTTAAGATTTCCCGCCTAGTACATGTAGCTTTGGTTTTTAGTAAAGATTGACAAAACACCCATCCAAATGACCTGAACCGTGAACTGTAGTGAGGCCATTAGTTCAAGTTGAACGAAAACGATCAATTCGTCTCGTCCCTACTGACTTGATTTTAGTAGTAGTGTACAAACGGCAAGTACCAGGCGATGAGGGTTTACAACCAGCTAATGGGATATGCTCGCAATGGCAACATAGACAACCGTTCAGAGGATGTTAATCCTGAACTATCTTTGTTGTCCAGCTATAACTCCCGGCGCCTGGGTATCCGTTCTGGAGCTTTCCTTAAGCAATTAAGCTTTGTCTTCAGTGTGCACTTTTCAAGTGTTGACGTTGGAAATCTAGGAATCATTATTTCTAATCTGCGTTTCATCAAGGGATATCTGTCAGATTGGGTCACTGACCAGCACGACGGGAGTTCTGAAATTCCCAGCCCCAGGTGACTCACCTATCTGGAACGACCAGGTCACTCTAATTTGCATTACATGAACGAAATTTAGGGACCGCAGGTTCGCTCGTGTGGTCTTGTTTCATCCTTTGTAATGTAAATACGCAACAGGAGCAAATGAATCAAACGCGACACGAAAACTTCACAGGTTCAATTCATTCTACGGGACCGGTTCGTTTGCTCGGTTCTGGGGATTACCACATGCGAACTTTTCACAAATACTCATTAATCCGTCGTCAGTCAGCCTGTCAGCTATAATTATGTATCAAGCATATGTTACTTCCATCTGCCAGGGTTTTGGTCACCTGAAATCGGAGAAGGGATAACCAGACATAGGAAGCGATGGTATAATTAGTTAGTGTTGAGTCATTCTAGTTGTGTGAAGAACTGGGTAACTGCGAGGCTACGCATGGAAGCCGATAGTTTTGATACAGGAGGGACTATGTTGTTGATCTAGGTCTGTTGGTGTCACTAACCTGTAAGTTAGTTTCTCGGGTTCCTCTCTAGGGAGACGGCACATATTAACCTGACTGAGTTTACTGGTAAGTACGTCCATGCTTCGTTTCCCGGTCTTAGATCGTCAGTCCCTCTGTCGTTTAGACCCTGCTAAGATGTACCTTTTCGTGGTGCGACGGTTTGCGTAGCTTAGCTACCCATTGAGCTATATTGGAGAATACCCATGCGACATCCAGTCTTTTCCACCAGGTTAGTTAGTGGATAAGGTCTAACAGTTTTCTGGCCCTTCAGGCGACGTTTTGCTTAAAAGCTAAACTGTTGTAGTAGCCTTACACTCATCAGCACTACCTTGAAGTCATACCTTTGGGCCGAAGGCTTTGTTTTGTACCCTAATGTTCCTCCTGTCTACGTTTGGGTGTCCTGGCAGTACTCGATTCCGCATACACCAACGATTAAAAAACATGTTCACCTTCGTGCCAAAGCGGCAGTCGCGTGGTATCATAAGATGAGTCGCCTGTAGGTCGGATAAGCCAAAAATGCAATTCTTCATTGACCTTCATTATTTCCTTTTTTCGATCTGATGATCACTCGTATAGCCTATCAGTCGGACACTAAGTGACCTGATCAAATCCACACCACCGCTTCAATCTGCTGCTCCACTTCCATTCACCAGAGCCCGTTATCCCGTTTTTGTCGAAACATGTAGTGCCCGAAGTTCAAAGCACGCGGACCAACAAGCTTCCCTTGTGCACACTGTCTACACGTTTGCTGCACTTCTGAAACGAGAACACAGGGTTGAAGTACAGTAATTGAGCTCACGGCACCTTCGTCGCCTGAATGATACCAGTTAAGAACTTTATTTGATTCCTCAGCTGAAGCAGGTGGTTGCGCCGGTGTTCGTATAGCTATCAGCTCCATAGCTGAGGTTTCCTTGCTTGGTTGAAGATTTGCAAACTGTCACTTCTATGTCGTTCGTCTTGCCACTCCCTTACGGACTCGCACCAGTCGAACAACTAACCGCTGTTTATTTCCAGTTTATTTCCAGTGTGATCCATTGTTACGTACTGTAGGTAAACAGATATGATACACTCTTGCTTCCTCAAGTGGGGGTGGACTTCCACAACTGACTTCCGCACTTTTCAACCAGGTCGCCAATGGTGAGGTTTGTAAATTTCTTCCAATGCTGCATAGTTTTTCACCAATCAAAATGCAATTAGATGGAAAATCCAAGGATGGACAATAATGAACGGGCGGAAACGAAGGGAAACTTATCGCACTAGTGGGCAGATCCCGAAAGTTCAAGATCCAGCGTTTTTTCGGATGTCATGTCCATTTTCGCCCATCTCTAGTTTATCCACGACACTTCTCGGGCTGCTGAAGCACGTCTGTGGACGATTAATGTTTCGTCTAAAGTACCTCCTATTTATTATTCCCAAAAAGTAATAGGCTACTCAGAACGACTTATTTTAGTCGCCTTCTGTTATCCACTTTGATGAATTTTCTCTTGAAGATTCTTCGTTGGCGACGTTTCGGGAAGTAGAGCTATAAACGGAAAAGTAATGGCTGAGGTAAACTGGACGTCCAAAAGAGCAGCACACCGAAGACCTAAATATCTGTTAGCCTCGTTTGATTTCTCCTCCGACCAATCCTTCTGTGCACAAATGTCAATTACCCGTAAACATTCACCAGAATAGATGGGGTTCACTACTGTTCTGCTTGTTTTATTCCTAGTGTTTATTTTTACGTTGACGATTTACGTAGACGATTTTCTTGCTTATGCGCCCGTCCCCAATTAACTCATCATCAACGAGCGTGTTGAGCGCATGTTGTATACCAACTAGGTTGAAGTTTGGCGCGATAAAAAGTATTTATCTGGTTGGCTCCACGAATTGTTATTATGATTTTTGGAAGCGTGAATAGTATTCCTTGATATTCTTTGTATTGTTTTATTTCGCAGGCTGAATACGGTGACGTGTGCGAGGATGATTTGGACGGCAAAGATGAGTCTCCCTTTCTCCCTCAGCGTTTACTACGACTTCTACCAAAGACACTAATTCATCAAGTGCAATCAAACCAAAGTTTGGCACAAAAGTTGAAGGATTGTTATAAGTCCTACAAAGGCATCACCAGGTGAACCACTGTACTTTATCAACTTTTCATGAAAGTTCTGATATTTTCCAGCCGATATTTACCCCAGCCACGGTCTGATTGTAACCGTATTATGATTCAACCGATGTTTTTGACAATATGTACACAAAATTTGCTATACTCGAGCACATTTCTATGGATGTTGATGGAGAAGCGTAGTGCTGATGTTATTAGGCTGTAGAGATAGGTACGCTGATGTGGGATTTACGGCTTATCCGTATTTTAGAGCCACCTGTATTCTTCTATGAGGGTACCAGTTCGCTGCAGAGAGGGAGGCACGAAGCTTGGGTCTTTGTTCACTAGAACGTGTGCATCATGGGAAAATTTTGTTTATAAAATAGTTAGAACGTACGGAGATTAAATGCGTTCGTTAAAGTTCTGTGGACTTGTGTTGCCCGGTTTCATTGTTTATGAGTGTTTCTCTTACATTACTTTCATGCCAATTACTTCCTACTGAACGATTTACTTGTAATCGGCATAATCAGCTACAGCTTTTCCCTGGCGAACTTCCATTTCTACTAGCATCGTTCTAACCTGTCCAGGAACTAGGTGTGCATTACTCGCACCTGGATAAAATGCCAGTGTCTTTTGGACTGACGCATTACTTAGCCGACTCTTGTGTTGTTTATCTTTGGAAATCATCTAGACCACGTGCATCTGGAAAGGTAACTCGGCGACAGGTGCACACGACTGACATAAATCTGAGGTGTAACTTCTGTCGGGACGGGGAGAAAGTGCGCTGCACCCTGCAGAAATCTTCGGGGCTGTTTTTTATATATTGCTTGATGCGGCAGCCTGCCAACGACTTTCGCGTATCGAGAACCTGTTTCTTTTCAATCTGTCAATAAGGCAATGAGGTTATTTTTATGAAGCTGTTTTATACAACTACCTTAATCCCAAAACTTGATAACTTTTGGTCTTCTTGGTAGGTTTTGTATAATGGTAAGTTCATTATACCGTCTAGTATTCATCTGGTGACGAGGTTTGGCCCCCGAACTTGCTTTTCATTGTTTCTAATCTCTGTTTATTGATTTACAGGATGGCTTAGATGGGAGTACTAGATTTTCTGAAGTTGGGGCAGTTATTTCCTTAATTTTAAACAAATGTCTAATGAATTATGAACACGTACTACACCTGACGCCATACCTGGACCGACTTAAAGGTAGTCGATAAGGATTTCAGCATCAGTCAAACACCAGTGGACATAAGTTCGTTTTGCTCCTGATAAGTCCCTTCTTATGGTTTGTCGAACCTTGTCGACACTGTGTAGTCACGCACTCGTTTGGAAGATTAAAATGCTGTTGAAAAGAGACTCAAACGAAACCCAACTGGACGTCTCTCTAACCGGTGTGCTACGCATAAGTCGGCTCATGTTTCGCTGGGGCTGCTGTTGACGATATTGAAGTATTTTTCCTTGTGTTTGCCATCCTTACCTTGACAGGGACAAAGCGGAATTGCAGTACCTTAAAGTGGCCCAACTACATCACTTGTTCGGGGTGGACTATTTCCCCATTGTAGTGAGTATTCATTTTTTGAACCGCGCTATCGTATGCGAGCACTTTCAACAGAACAACCCTTTTCACCAACGTCTGCCTTTCACTCTCAGGTGGTCGTATCTTTACCGGCAGGCAGGTTTTTTTAATGCAAATTTTAACTACGAACTGTGGACAGGTTCGCTCCTTTTTACCATCCCAAAAAGTATGAAATGTATGTACTGATATAACATTGTTGGTGTTCTTCCAATGTACAAATTTTTATGCCAATACAAAATGATCATCAAGTACACTAGCCACGTTACTGATACGCAGCTAGGTGCAGCAAAATTTGTGACTACGGTCCCTTATATTTTCTGTTGGGTGAAGTTTACCTTTTAGACGTTCTGCATAAACGTTGCTGTCGATCGGAATCAGAATGACGTGACATGTGATTACGTTTCGCTCTTCAAAGTGTCATAATTGGATTGCTGAGCTCAGTGATACACTTTCCCTAATGTTGCACCACTATTTCACGCAGTTACCACTGCTCCGTTGTTCCGGGACACTACTGGGGCGCACAAGAGAGTATCCAAAAGCATGCAAGATTAGCAGCAACCTCACTGAACTACTTCTTCAGCATCCAACTACGTACCGCCTTTTTCGATGCTATTTCCACATTCTAGAATGTATTGATTTGAACAGATCGTGAGTAGTTTTCATTCTAACCCAAACGACAGCGAGATTAAACGGACTAGAACGATCAGTTCTAGTTTCCTAACTGAACCAGATTACAGCTGGCATGGATCATCGGACATTTTCGACTTGACCAGGACGAAACCCTTCCGAGTATCTGTATATTTACCGCGACTGCTTAGCACTTTGCTACACCGCATAATTGGAGTGGCGGACGATCTAGTTCCAGATGGGAAACTTCGAGTAAGATATTGGGCTGTCCATACACTCTGATAGTAACAGTGCCTGTGAATGGCTTGTGAACAGCTTCGGAGGCTTATAATTCTCGAGAACTGTTTTTCTCAATCCGCTTTTCTATCGTGTGAAAGACACCCAATTCAGCATCTTATAACCTCATCTGTGTCGTTGTGGTTTACGGTCGCGACTTATGTAGCTTTTTCTAGTAATCAAACTGTCTGCTTTCGAAGAATAACCAAAACGAATTGTAATCTTCACAACGTACCTGGGTGTCTGTCTCAAATGTGTGACGATTTTTTGAATTGAATGCAGTTACTCTTTAAGTTCTTGCCTGTTAATCGAGCCGAATTATCCTGCCATTTCAAGCAAGATTAGCATGTTGTGTGTGGCATAGACTGTAGCACAAATCACAGTTTCCCAAAAGCTAGTTGGGATCTACACGAACCCAACATTCACTCTTCGTCAGTTGTCAAACTGTCACCGTTGGTTCGCGGATTTCACGACGGCTTTTGACACCTAACTTTTGTAGAATGCCACTTGAATTGGAATATAGAAGACATGCCGGAACACCTGAAGCTCTCAGCTAATTCAATGTGTCCAAAACCTGCTTAAATTTCATAGGTGACTGAGGCGAAGGCCACTCGTAAACACGTCTTAACTGCTTCCTGGGGATGCCAGTTAAAGCGAACGACCGAAAATGCTCATCTTTACAAATCGTACTGCTGAAAGGTGATTCAATACACCACTACAGAGTGGTCTGTTTTGGAGGATCATCATTGCAGACGAGATCAACTGGTATTCACAGCCTTGGGTTGAAAAACGTTCAATATGAAACACAAATTGGTGTTTAGGATCTTCTGATTACATGGTTCTACTCCATAACTGTTGGCTGTGTGTTGATTTGCCGTTTTGATTGCACATCTTCCACGTGAAATTCTCATGTTCCACCGTGTTCCAATACTCGAACCAAACTTCACCTTAGCGATGAAGCACTAGGTCTTACCGTATTTTTATATTAACGATTCACGTTTTAGGCTTTTTATAGGCTTCGAAAGAGAATTCCAGTCACCTCTTGGTATCAACAGCTCGCCTACCTGTAGTTTTGTTATCTTTCAGTGTGTACGAATGAAGTGCCCTCGAACACTGAGCTTGACGCGTTATCTCACGCGAAATGAACTTACTCCGTGGCATAGCTGGGTAAGCAGATACTTTTAGCGTTCCTTGTTTTCCATTCAATATTTATGTTGCCAGAAATCCCGAAGACATATTGCCTCAAGAGAGCACAGACATTTTCAGCCGAGATTCATCTACAGAATGAACTGCCCGACCAAAACTATTTACGTCCTACATCTAAATTATTAACTTTTGTCGGAAGCGTAACCAATACTTCAAATACCAATATACTATAAGCACCCTCCACAGTTGTTACTGTTGCCCGCGAGTAACGTTTTTCCCATGAACACTTTTTGAACCTTCAAATCGACACATCGAATTGCAATGAGATATTTCATAAGATACGTTGCTATTCTTTTGTTCCTTCATTGTCTGGCATTCGATACGGATTTGCCTGTACACACTAGTTGAACCACCGAACACCTGAAGATAGTTTGGATAACGATTTGCCAGGAGTTGAACCTGCTGCAGCGCGTGAGCCTGAGACTCCTATATAAGCTGAGGGAATTCGATCTTCGGTGAAACGCGCAGAGAACTACCAGTTGGCGTAAGAATGACTGCATTGAAATGGACACCAGCACTAGTGTCGTCCGTCAGTTTCTTTTCGTTTTAACATACCGTATGGTACGTTATAATAATACAAAACCCACCTGGTTTCATCAAAGGCCAAACCTTTCGGTTGCAATGGCTAAATAAGCTAATCAGGTGCGGAAGGAGTACGCTTCTATTATTACGAGAAAAAAAGACCCTCAGTTTATTTGTCAGCGCTGCGCTACTGTTATAAGGGAACGTTGGTGTCCCGCAAGTTTGACGCTGCTCAGGTAGTTTCGTCCGCAGATCAAGCAGCTCCAAAAGTTTGCCTGTGTCCCCATGTTTCTCGCTAGTCACTTACGAATGAACCATTTATATTCGAGCATCGGTGTATCCGATGTCTTGATAAGTGTCATATTTTTGCGGGGAACTTTCTTTAGCTCGGGACTCAAAATCAATGTTTTTTAAACCCACCTGATTTCTGTTTCCATACCATTTTTTTCTGTCGGCCCTGAAAGCCATTCCTCAAGTGTTTGTGGAGCAAGTGTTTGAGGTTGCGATCTATAAACGATCTAGTCCGAACAAAGGCGATCACAGGAGATTCTTTTTAGCACCGTTGTACATCTGCCGTATTACTGAAGCGGATATTTATAAAAGACGCTCTCTTATGTCTGTGTAAGTTGAGTTTTCCTTCACGAAATCTGAATCGGATGATCTGACATTTTGTTAAACCTTTGCAATACATCAGTTTAAGTTTCCTGATGGCATCAATGTCCGGAGCCAATGTAGACACTACGGAGTATTTTCATCCGTAACACCCTCCTTTGACTCGTTTTTCTGCTATCCTAGCACGCTTTTTCTGATCGACGCTCACCAGAGCGAAGAAGCACTGGCTTCGAATTTCGCTCTCAATAGAGCTAAGCGGTGACCACTCGGATTGAAATTCCGGACACCCGGTTTACGAGTTGGCGTGTCACTTCTACTTCATCAGCGTAGACCTAACAAACCGTAATTGTCAACGCGGTCGATATCCGCCACATTGATTTAGTGACCGGCTTTGAGTACCGACCTGATCCAGAGGGTTGGACTGACCGGACAGGTTAAACGCAAGCAGCCAGGCAAAGTATGTAGATCTCTCCTACCCCAAACAATGGCGATGTGGTCTGGGAATGAAGTCGAACTGTCTTTTGTGACAGCCATGTTAAGGTAGTAAGCCTTCTTTAAACTACAAGACTTCCGTATTCATGAGGACAATGGTGATATCTTTCCCCAGGAACAACGACTTGGGGAATTCAGCCCTAAAAGTCGCACACACCGAAGGGCTGACCGTGATTGGTACTACAGTAGAATAACCAATAAATCTTGCCATGAGTCTGACGCGGTGTAAAACTGATTCGTTGTGTGTAGCAACACCAGGAGTTAGTCGTCTGTCTTATTTGTTGCAGACCGGACCCCACAGTCACGTGGGCCAGACTATTCAGTCATTGGCTCTAGGCTTGGTCTCCCAAGAAAACCTTATCAACCACCGTCATTTGGTTAAGACTTTTGAGTCAGGAGCAGTGGTAGCGATCCCAACAGAAACCGTCCATCCTTCCACAGCCTTGTGAGCCAGACTCTTGAATCAAAAGGCCCAGGATGGAGTACCTCGATCAATTTCCCTTGATTGTGTCGATCGGGAAGTATAATCAGACCTCACCGTACTTCCTACGGTGTGGTCCACGATTCTTCGCTATCCTGCAAACAAGCGTCACCGAGTCATTCGGTTCTAAGCTATCTGGCAGGTGTGCCCAATGAAATCAAGTAAAAACTACCAAATTCGCGAGATCCTTTCTACACAGGAGCCTTCAGCTCGTACTTTACATCGAATCGGGCAGCAGGCAATGCTCGCTCATATCTCTTAATTTCCTAAAATCGGCGTATACTATGCCTCCGAAACACGCATAGAAGACTCAAGTTTAGTAATTCACTTTAGGGTACTGAAAGCCCTTTGCTTCATTGATACTCGGCATGAAAATCGGCGTGTGTATCTAATGCCAGCTTATGCCTGGACGGACTTAAGCTATGATGCTGGCGCATTCTACCGAGGTCCATTTGATTCGTTGGGCGTTATCGTGCTTGAGCATGAAACGAATGGTCAGGATTAGAGAAATACATTTCGTTGCAAACAAATTTGGTTTATGCGAGAGACTTACCTGGAACCCAACTGAATGTCTCGTTTGTGATGTTTTCGGGCAACTGAATGTGCTGCATCAAGCCGCCTCATGTTCCAGTTGCTACGATATTCGGGGTACCGCGATACATATATATACGTAATTCGCTACTCATAGGGTTGCTGAAAATGCTTCGACAGCCCACAACCGGTTTCGCCCTTTTTGGAGCTCATCAGGTAGGCGCAGTCCTCAAATGCTCAGGGTTTTCTCAGGTTGTATTTTTCCCAGCCATGGGGAGATAGATTTGTGAAGATCAAGTTTGGCTTCGTCCTACAGGAGGAGTGCAGTGGACACATTTTTACTCCGACAGGTTCTGGAAACAAACACCGCTTCGAGCAGAGAGCACTAGTTTGCTTCCTTGACTTCAAAGTGCCTTTGTCTCTGTTGGCTGAGCGCTTTAGCAGTATCTGTGCAGCGAACAGGTGCTCTGTAAATTTTTAACCCTCTTTGTAGTGCTGGGTAGGTTTGTGCAATTAGCTCTCATCAGAGTTCACTAAATTTCATGATATCAGATACGGCTATCTTCCACCGCCCTTTCAACTTGTCATTATTATGACCATGGAAGACTCCCTGTCTGCCTCCGGCGTCTGTGAGGTCGAAATGTTCATAAGGTATGTTCTCACAGGCATCCAGTACACAGACGGTGCAGATCTCGCTTCTACCCCTTCTAAATGTAAATAATATTGAGTATTCTAAATAATTCTTCCTAATGTTTTGGTGTGCGATCCCTGTCTGCAAAGTGCGCTGCAAGATCCTAACTTTATACCTTCAGATAAACCGATTGAGGTGGTGGACAAATTTGCTTACTTGGGGGATGCATAATTGGTGTGCGATCCCTGTCTGCAAAGTGCGCTGCAAGATCCTAACTTTATACCTTCAGATAAACCGATTGAGGTGGTGGACAAATTTGCTTACTTGGGCGGATGCATAAACTCTGGCAATCTAATGCTCAGAGCAACCAAACCCTCCAAATCTTCTCAGTGTCACTCCTCGATTCACTCGTGAGCGATTTCGGTTGGTGCCTTCAATAAGTAGCCATCCGCTCTCACACCCAGGTTATCGGCGAACGAAACTGCGAGAATTAGAATCACTATGAAACATGTCCTCAGTCTCCAGGCGATGATGATCTTGTGGTCGTTGGTGCGAGTTACCCATACCTGTACGGGCAGCTTCGCTGAAACATTTTGACAGTTATACTTCCCTTGAACACGCGATACAATGGCTAGTTGGGATCATTTTTTCAGATTTGTTCGCAGAACACGACGTGCATTTGAAAGTTTGCTATTCGGTCGAAGCATAAACAAGAATATGTTCCGGAAAAGCATCTAGATTTGTTATCCGATTAAAATTTCTTAGCTCCAGATGATATTTGCATCATAATAGCGCTGCCTTCCGAATATACGCTTTCCGCACCATCAACGTTCAGTATTAGATGTGCGCTTTTTCCCCCGGGGTTTCTGATGTTAATCTGCTAGTTGTTTCGAGAGTAATTATTCATTTTGCCGCTTTCTGCTGGCCTTCACTGCCTGACCTTCAGATCGATTCGCATCATGCCAAATAACTCGATCTCGACGGGTACTTTCTGTGTGTATGTCTCGTGTGCAAGGTGCATCTTGCCATTGTATAAACATCTCCTTTCCACTGCAAGTAGGATAAACAAGGTATTTTAACGCAATTTCCCATTGGTTTGGTGTAATATTTTATGTTAATCGATTACCCAGACTGTGAAGCGGGCGTCAGGCGCATGAATACCGCAGTGCGTCACTAAATTGGCACACACCGACCACGCACAAGAACACTGCGGAAGATTATTCCGTTTAACAGCCATTTGGTTACCCGCGTTGCAAGCTGCATTTTATAACCGGAAGATTCCTCTTCTGACAGTTTCGTTAATTATGCTTTGCTGGTCAGGTATCAAATTTAATCGAAGGCAGACTCGAGTTCGCCGTGAGCAATCTTATTACAACCTGTGTCATCTGTAAACCGAATTCACAAAAAAAAGCACAACCCTAGAGAAACCTTCAAACGGGAAAAAGATGCCACAAGAAATAGTTCCTGTTCCCATACGACTTGTGTAAAATTTTCGAATAAAAGGACCCTCTTGTTCGGAACAGAAAAAAAATCTCAGGAGCATTGGTACCCCCAAACAAGTAACGGCCGTAGTACATCCCAGATAGACTCACTTGTGAATGTGAGATTTGTCAGTGAATGCAAGGTGTTTGCCCGCGTGACTGGACAGAGCATCCGACGGACAGTTGCCACGATTCGTTGTTATCCACAGAAGGTACGATTTGACGGGCTGTTTCGACCCCATGGCTAGCTGTTTCCCATTCAAGCAACGTTCATCAATGCGTGATGCGCCCTGAGGTATGAGACCATATAGGCGATGTGCATCCATAGTAATCCGAGCTCATGAAAAGATCTAGGTAGGTAGTTAACGAAGGCTTGCCTGGTCACATTCTCACCAAGCAACATAGAATAATCTGTTTCGCGGGAGCATGGTGTCTGCATTTTGCATATATAGGTCTTCTGCGCAATGCGTTTCTGGGTCTCCCTTCATCAGTAGTTCGTGGTTTGGATGCAATTTTTTTGCGCGAGACTCGAAACCTTTAAATGCTATATTAGTGCAATTGAGCATAGGTGATTAACGCTTAGGCCCGCACAATTTCACGCGCCCTTCATCAACCGCTGTCATAAGATATGCTAACACGATGATTATACAGTTCATGCACCCTTTCGTCCTTTGTACATATCCACCTACGGTAAGTGGTAAGCGATAATGAACACAGTGACCTTGGAACTAATGGTCCTTACTATGTGGAGGCTACTTTACAGCCGCTATCTCAGCTTTCACTGCTTTCAACCACCGACCAAAATTGCGAAGACAGTTCCGGTTGCATTGCTTTCATTAGTTCACCTGATGTTTTGCCCGACTTCCTCATAGTTCACTCAACGTACCTGTTTTGGGAAAAGGGCATCACTAACTAACACAAGCCCCAAGAATAGCGAAACCGGTCGTGGGCTGTTGAAGAGCATTTAGTGATTTGCGTCTATACAAGCACTTACTTTTTTCTTTTCACTTCGTCCTGTGTGGAGTTAATGTTTTCAGGGTATAATCTTTTCAGTGCTATAGACTTTACATGCACACAACTACTTATGGATATTGCTGAGACTCATAAAGCCTCAGACCATGATGGATGTTGAACGTAGAGCGCTACTCAAGCCATGATAGTGTTTTCTCGACCTCGGATTCGTCAACCCTTCTAACACAGCAGCAGACGCGTACCTCGCCGCATAACCTCGTGCGATCTGCACTAACTTCAGATACAAAGAGCCACGGACCAGTAGGGAAGAACACGCAGAGTGGAACGACCATGGATAGAATGACTCGAAACACGTGCTGCGTGTATTGACCTTATTCACGTAGCCAACTGGGTATCGACCTGAAATCCATCCTAGTCATCCACATTCGGCTCCAGGTAAGATCAGCTTCGCCCTCTGGGGGGGCACTCAGCCACAACGGCAACAGACACAAACAGTGGTGACCAAACCCGATAGTGATGAATGCGAAACAAACAGCTGGCTCTCGGTCGTATAAATCACCAGCAGGAACAGCACTGTAATGAGAACACGCGGAATTCAAATCACCTGACAGTAATCTGGCTTGACGTACAGTTCGGGCACTCCGATTCAACAAAACTAATGCGCAAAAGCTTCGTGTTTTGTTCCGCTACAGTTCGAGCCGTATGTGCTTCAACTAAGGTTAAAATCAGTATATAACCTCTGGTCATCTTCACTTCATTTGCAGGACAAACATCATACAAACGCCTGGTTGGGTGTGACGGCCGCAGGAATACAGTTGTATGGAAAAAATCAACGTGAGCGTCCACGCTATACATTTCAATGGAATATTATAAAGAACGTTTCATATCGTGAGCGAAAAGTAAGTTTCCTTGTTTTTCCGAGTAAACCTTACATCACTACTATCCCCCTACTGCAGTCGCTTCTAGTTGATATCGAGGAGACACCCAACCTCCAACGGACCCCGTGTTACTTTGAGACCAGAACGAGTCTCTAGTTCAACTGAGTTTGGAACGTGGAAAAAATTATGAGAAGTGTCGTGTTACTTTTGTGGAAAGAAACTCGCAGATAAACCGCTACTTGTTTTGCCTTGCTTGAGACTCATCGAGTAGTGAATGAAATGGCATATGCAATTGGGCGTCAACCACGTGGTATATTCTGTTTGACTGCGCGTATTAACTTACTTTACGGGTACTCATTGGTTCAGACTCCAAGTCTAGAGCTTCATGTGGACTAACTGGTTTGAATCGCCCATCATCTCATCTAATTGGTTCCCATTTCGGGGCGAGATGCCTCAGGGGTTAGAGCGCGAATTTACTGGCCGGAAGGTCCGTAGTTCGAACCCGTGCTCTGCATCTCGACTTCCTCTGTATAGGCTTGGACAACCTGGCAGTATCCCAACCCTCGAATTCCTGTTGCCTGTCCCGGCATTTTTTTCGTTCACATTCACCGGTTATGCTTTGGTTTGCCAGTGTTCGAATCAAATTCATTTTCTTGGAAATCCTACATGTTCTTATTCTGCGCTTTGGTGTGCCAATCCAATCCGTATTCATACTTAATGACTTCTCATCATCTAGACTTCAAACCTCTACTTTCCTGCATCAAACTAAGTTGCGTTGTAACTTATGTGACTTTGTTGAATCAGCACACGGATGATGGTGTGTTTTTCAACTATGGCTGTGTTTAGCCTTATCATCCCCAAACTGAACATTATTTATCGACGCGATGTCTACTTTTTTTCACGGCTCTATTCATTCAGACTGCTTTTCACCAGGATCCTGAGCCAACCATGTCCTCTTGTTTGCGCTATCTTTTTTCTTCTGGGCCTCGCAATGGCATGAGCTAAGTGTTTATCCCATTATTTTTGGTTACTGTATGCGGTACCTCAATGTATAATCTTGTAAACGTTTTCTCCAGTTCACTGTGAAGTTGGTTGATAACTGGCAATGTTCAAAGAAAACCAGCACAAGTCACAGTTCAAGCGCTGGTGGCACTTCATCCGCTCCTGCAGCAGGTCTAACTGATGCATTAAGCCAACAGACTGGCGTTCAGCGTCCACGTCAGTCAAGTCGAAGCACCGGTGGACGTAGTCCCCTGATGGGTTCTGGTGGGCCGACCTTAACTAACCTGAATGTCAGTTCGGGCGCCTGTGGTAGTGGTGCGTCAGCTGCGAGTTTACCTAGTACTCCTCTGTCTGCTCGGTTGATGTTACCGGCCGTGTCTTCTACGTGCTCGGGGAGTGGTCTGGGGCTTCCGACAAATGCTCGAATCCATCGAGACATCAGTTATGAGCGTCCCAGTCGTCATGGTGGTCACTCACCCACCGTTGTTAAGAATTCCAGTCGGAGTGAGTGACAAGTTTTAGTGTTTCTTTTTTCTCCTCCCTTTCATAATGGAGGTAATGTTTTTTTTTGCGTCCAAGTAGTACAGCAAAGTTTCGACCTACACAAATGGGCTCAATAACTAATTTGTTACTTAGTCAATCCTTGAATTATTGCATGTTTGCTATCGAGATATATCACTTGAATGATACTGTGCTATTCGTTTGAATCACTAACACTACGGGGCCGAACAAAGCATGTAAGTTTGGTACTCTTTGATATGAAGCCTTGGACGCCACTTATTTGGACAGTGCTGCACACTTGAACACGTACGCGAAGTGCCAAGTTCCTTTTTCCTTTCGAGATGTATATCGCCTTCCACTATGACAGCTCACTTCTGATGACAACCCGATCAGTGAGTGATTCCGGTGCATGTTCAGTGACTAAGTCCCCATGCGATCAAGGCAGCTAGCTTTTCAACGTCTTATCGAAGCATTTTGCAGGAAGTTTGACGAAACCACGGAAAGGCGCCAGGTTTTCACTAACCATCCAGCGTTACCTACCCATCATTTCGCGTTACTCATGCAGAACCTTAGTGGCGGTACTTGTGGTTGCCTGTGACTTCTTGTGGATGAGTATATTTCGTTGTACTATGCTGTCGTCATCATTAAGCCTCCAGAGTGCTCCAACATAGTTACCCTCAACCAACTCCCACACTAGGTGAGAATATCTGTTCCCATCTTGTTTCTCATAATGAGATAAACGTTTAGTTCGCGACTTCATCGATGAATAGGTTTTGTCGACCTCGCATTTTTCCAGAAGAGTACGTTCCATAACCCACCTCACCTCGATTGTACACGGATATCCATTACATATCATTGTTTCACACTCTGAATACATTCCGGACACACACATTAGGAAAACGACCCAAAGCACTTGGTGAAGTGACTTTTATGGTGTGGAAGTATCCTATTCGTGTATATACCAAATGTAACTGATATCAGAGTCCCTAATTAAGGGTGAAGACACGTGACTTGAATAGCTACGGCGGTGGTGCATCACTTAAGCAGTATTATACAATAAGTATCAAAATGTTCACCTTCGTTTGTGTTGCACAGCAAAGAAGAACATCTACAGCCCCTCTGAAGGTGCCTTTTGATGAAGCGTTTCAGGTATTTGTGTTTTGTAATGAGGGCGCCCCTGATGTCTTTTCAGATGGCATGTAAATTGTAATACCTGATTTCCAGTATTATCTTTAAACTATTTTTTCCTCAAAGGAGAACGAAACCGAAAAAACTTGCTTGTAGATGAGAAGTCTGGGCAGCTCACTACCGGTTTTGTCCTTCTTGGGGCTTATCAGAATTACAAACGAGAGATTCGGGTAACTTTTAACCTGAGACCCTCCTCCACGTCGACTTTATTTGCAAATGAATTGGCACTTGAGTACGAAATAAGTTTGATAGAAATTCGGGGACTGGTACTGCCTGATGAGCCCCAAGGAGGACGAGTTTTCATTGATTTTATTGTTAACACTAAAAGAACCTCAATATATCACTCCAGCTGAAACATGAGACTGCCCTTGTGTAGCACATTCAGTCGGGGAATATCATGAACGAGAGATTCAGATGGATTTTAAGTGTCTTGGCAACGCCAGGTCAATGCGCAGTGGATGTTTATCGCTATTCACCGTATATTTTGCGAGTGCCGCTAACTATCTGAAAAATCTGCAGAAAGTAGAAATCTGTGAATAGCCATGGGCACCAAATGTCAACCGGGATTTGGCGGGGTGACCACTGCACAAAAGGTGAATGGCTGTCGTCTGCTGAATTCGCACCTGGGTGGGATAAAAAAAGATTTCATGATGAGTTTGTTTCATTCCAGACATGGCAGCCAACTCTCATTCGACCTGAGAGGAACAGACGCGTTTTGGTGTGTTTGTTAGATATAAGCTGTTCATATTCGTGGACTAGTGGCTTGATGCCTAGCCGTTTTCCCCGTTGTTTAGGGTAACATGTGAAAGGTCTGTTGTGAGTGACATGAATTCGGATTCTAGCGCAACCAATATCTACCGCTGTTGATCGAGTACTGTAGTGGGTGCATTCCGTTACACTATTTTTTCATTCTTCATTTTCAGTGTTTAAATTTGAATCGGGCTGCATCCCGGGTCTAACCCCAATCGCTTCACGTTGTTCTACCAACGACTTACTGCTCGTCAGCAGCGGGACTTGTCTGACCGCTCCGCGTGTCCAGACCACGGATAGTAGTGGAGCTGGTTCATCAGCCTCTTCGAAAAGTTCATTTGCAGCCCACCACCGTTCGAATTCAAATCCACTGATCAGCGTGGTGGAAGTGTGGTTAGCAGATCCGAGTCAGGCCAAAACCGTGATGTCCATGTGCGCTGGCAATCATGCTCTGTTCATGCGTCGGCGCCAGCCGGACAGTGTAGAAGTGCAGCAAATGCGAGCACAGGCCCGAGAGGAAAGGGCTCGACGTGAAGTGAGCCGAAAATATGGTTTACCATACCACTTTTTTATGGACACAATGTTTTCGTCCCTGCCTTAAGGGATTTCTTGATTTACTTACTCCACACAACCGACGGAAACATTCACGTCTTAGTTCTGAATACTGAAATTATTTCACGAGTATACGAACACTAATGAACATTTGTGATTCGTTAGGTTTACTTAACTTGTTCTTTTTCACAAAGAGCTGTAAAGTTTTGATAGTAAAAAGAACCTTTGACCTGACGTTTTCTATGCATGTGAAAGGCCAATCAACTGCCAACTGTGCAACCTGAATGAAGAAAGCGGACTGAGACCTCAATGTTAGACAGGAAAAATGGAGGACATGATTTTAACCGTGAACCTTCCAGTTGTTAGTCCAAAGTCTAACTCATAACCTGTCCGGAACTGAGTGAAATCTGTGAAAACGTCGTTGTAAATGTCTACTCGCAGTCTGATATTCGAACCGTCTCCGTTCACTTTGGTCATTTTCTATGTTGTGACTGATTCGAAGCTGGTGTTTATAATCATCCTTCTCAGTGGCTATTGTGACCTATTCGGATCAAGTTAAGAATTCTGTGCATGTGATGCTTTTTTAGCAGTCCGCTGTCATTGGTCCACGGACAGCCCGATGGCCAGAAACCCCGTTAAGCAAAATACACAGTTACAGTCACTTGCGGTCAGGAGGCTTTTTACACAGACGTATTAATTCGAGCCCCTAGTCGGTGGTACTGAGCTGCAGGGTGTAGTCATTCGGAGAATGAGATGCGAAAAGGCCGGTTCATCTCCTGGTGGAAAAACAGGTAAGCGGAACGTTCGAAAGCTTGTGTGGGAGGCACAGTTGACACAAGTACTGGTAGGTATTTGCCATGCTAGTAAATGTGAGATACGTAAGGTAAAAGGTTTGAAAACTGTCCGTGAGTGATGAGATGGCAACAGGGCAAAGGATCTTTCCTTGACTACAGTTCAAGATTGAGAAATGGGCCGATGGGGTCCGACTTCAGACCTGGAAATGGTACCTGGGAATAGAAGAAAGTTCATGGAGCACAATTTGTAGGTGGATTAGGGTAACTGCAGCAGCAGAAAAGAAAGTTCACCTCGACAGAACATTACTCCTTGACATCAACCTTATGAGTGACGTTCCATCTCGATATCTCGAGTGTCATACCAACTGAAACGTGAGAGGGTCTTTGTGCCCTGCTTTCAGTTGAATGACTTCGTAAACGATGGACTTGGGTGGAACTCACTTGAGTCTTCCGTTGGAATCAAATTAGTTTGCGGAGGTCCGCCGTCCTGGAGACGTTTTTAGCGATCAGTTTGACATGAGCAGTTCAAACGAACATATCAGATACGGAGGAAGGTGGGAATTCTGGGCCAATAAAGATGTGCAGGTTCGGGGGCGTCACAGAAATATGGATAATTATTGGGGGGTATTGCACGGTTCGCGAACTTCAGCGACGAAAGTTGGTGGGGGAGATGTAATGGAATAGTAGGTAATTATGTGCAGTGAAATCGGAAGTAACGCATAGACTAGTCTAGTCTCATTCATGTAAACGGAACAGAGAGAGAGGACTGAGGGTGACTAAGATCTTTTTAGTGACTGGTGGTCTAGGTAGGTACCTACCTCGACGAAAACGGTATTTACCTGCCACGCTTTATTTCTCCACATCGATCGTTGAGAGTCTCGCAATCTAGGGATCTGAAATATGCGCAACAGACCTGTTCTCGTTTCGTTTGTCTTTTTATGGCAACCCTTATAGCACAAGTGATGCCACCAGGAAGAGATCTTTCCCCGTCTAGTTTTCAGAACTGACTAGCAAATTCTGAGTCACTCATTTTGACTTGGTACTTGTCTATTTCTATCCAGGTAGAGCGTAGCAGACTCGCGCGTGCACGTGCTGAGAAAGCAGAGGCAGTTGAAGCTAAATTGGCCTTGGAGTCGAAATGCGCTCAGTTAGAGCGTGCCTTGCGACAGCAACAAGAACTGCAACAAATGTTCCTGTCCGGTGCCATACCCACTGGCGATCATGCTGAATCGGTGCGTGAAAAGAATAATATCGTGAGACCACGGTCGACAAACTCTTCGCTGCGCTTTCCATCTACCGGACGAAAAGTGCTTCGAGAGCCATCAGATGACGAACGTTTTCGCACTCAAATCTGTCCGTCCACCGAACAGCCACACAGACGCGTTACCGACCCAACTTCTGATGGTGTTGATGGGCTATCTGGTGAACAACCAGTTGACGAGCGCCATCAGAGCGACATGCATTTTGGTCGGTGTGTTTTTTATCGGTCCGACGAACGTGTAGCTCAGAATGGTGGGGATCTAGGTGACTTCGAAGAGTATTCTTGGGACCAACTTCCCCGCGAACAAGGACATGCTTACACTCGCCAGACTTATGGGCAGCATCCACAACCGTTGGTGCCCCACCGACAACCACTCAAAATGTATACTAATGGGTCAGCCTCAACACCAGCTACTCCTTTTGCTCGACGTGCTGCGGCTGTGGCCGAACGAGAATTGAGGCCTCCCAATTATACACCTCAACTGTCTCGACGAAACCCCACGGAAAATGCCTCTTTCTTCTCCTCTGGCATGTTGGATCCAGTACACTATCCACCAGCAGAGACCAATTATCGTGCCGGACACGTGAGTATTGTTATCCTACTTTTTCTCAACCAATATTGTTTTTGGGCTGCTGTGTCATTCCTATTGTTCGCCGGGATATTTGAGTCGTTAGCTAAATATTTGTGTCCCAGTAACTGCTGGATTTAAATCCATTCTGAAGCACTGGTTACTGATAAAAGTTTTATATGGGTGTTCGGGCTTGCACGCGTGACACATGCAACTATAAACTATTAAATAATGAATTCTACGGAGTTCTGAGGCGCTTGCATGCAGTATACCATTTTGATGCGGTTGTTTTGAATGTAGAAGTGAACAGGGCCCAAACATGAATTCAGCGCTAGTAGAAGTCATCTAGCTGATTCATACAAGTGCGGTGACAGCAACCAAATGGATGCCACACAGTATTTTCTTACAAGTTCTCCGTTCCAGACCACCAGCTCGGCCAGCATACAACACTGGGACAGAGTTACTGAAAACTGATAGGTTAGCTCAAGCTGCATCCGTGAACATGCATCACACATCCCATGGTGTCAGAATAGTTACCACTCGGACAAACAATCATCGACGGACTGTTTTCAGCGAATTCAACCAAAAACGAGGCACCAATTAGAGGTACAAAGCAGACCCGTAAGTTTATTCGTAAATTCACCCCTACCTTTTGAAAAGCCCAACATATTGAGATACGCGAATTCTCGTACAGTATGCTTTATTTACTCCGCCTGTGCTGTTCCTTGGTAGTTGGTTCTCAGTGCCGTGCAAGCGTTTAGTTGATAGTCACAATGTGTAGTAACGGTATTTTCCTCAGGTTAGTTCTCGGTCTGAGCCTCCCAAAACAACCACCAAGGGTGGACAAGGTCTATTAATGCCCAAAACGAAGTCAAGAACAGTTGTACAGCGCTTCGTATATATAGCGTAAGCGGTTATAACTTTCTGGAAGCTCTGACGCGTTCTGGATGCGCCATTGGCAACCGGCATTTGGCCAATACTGGCTGTTGGGTCCAGATTTCTGACCAATCAGATCTCGTCTTGATGCCGGACCGGCAAGTGTCCCGAATTCTTGACCAATCTCGTGTGGGTCAGGCTTATCGGCCGTAGCAGCGCCTAAAGACGTGCGGTAAAGCGGGATCCGTGTGGAATTCTGCGTAACACCTCCCCCTTGAAGTTTGTTGACGTAGCTTCGAAGCCGAGGGTTCACTTGCAGTGGCCTCACTGGCTTGCGGATCCTGTCTGTCCAGCGTTGCGGTTGTAATCCGTTCTCAGGCTGGGCAACTGGTTGATTTTCTAGAATGGTGCCGAGATCAAAAGTGTCTAGAAGCGTTTCTAGACTCAAATCACTCGGTCCCGTGGGCAGGGTCTGTGTATCGGCCGGCCGGATTTGGTTCGCGTGGCGTATCCACTTGGCTGGACCAACTTGAATCTCGTAGAGCACTTTGCCGCGCCGGCGAAGGATGAGTCCTAGGGTCCACGTAGGGTGTCTACCACTATAGTCACGAGCCAACACTCTCTGGCCTCCGCTGAATGAGCGCGCAGTTGTTCCATGATGTCATTCGAGGAAATTTCCAGATTTTTTTCAGAGAGTGGCGTTGTACTAGCTTGTACATTAGTTTACCATCCTACCGACCAAACGTTATTTCAGGTACCTACTGCCAGGATAGTGGGATCGCCTTTCTTATCGAAGTTTTCGGCCAATATATGGGTCTTCAGAGTCGTCCTGGATAGCGTCAGCATCAGGTTGCATGCATCTGGTGGAACGAATGCCAGCAGCATTCGGATTGTTTTAAATTAAAGTCAATGTCCATCCAAACGCAACTATTTCATTACAATGCAACATAAAATCTTCACCGTGAGAAGTAAACCTGCATCCAGCTGAAATAATTGTGATGAAGAAGCTTGAAAGAATAGGGATGAGAGCCTCTGGCAGCTTGTTTGTGTTTACTTATTATACTTGTGTGTCGTTCTGGTGGTGGCGATAATCAGACAGCACTAGTCCCAGATGTTCGGTGAGAACGCTTAGGAGGATGTTGATTATGGAGCGAGCCACTTAGCTTCGTGAGTTTTGGGGAAGAAGTGGGCCAATGTATTAGCCATTCGGAACAAGTAGGTATTGCCCACTCTTGATTACCACACTGGTCTGCATCTACGTAGTGTAAACTTCCTCCGTCCAAACACGACTGCCGAACTTCAACCAGTGGATGTGGGGATCATCGAAAATGCTAAAGTAAATTAGTGGAATGATTTTGTAACTTATCTGCGCAATTATCTGGTAATGAACATTCCGTAAAGGTTAGTTGCTTTATCAAACGTTACATGTGGTGAGGTCAGTCTAGTGTGGCGCCGGCCCTTTTGTAGATGCAAGTAGTGATTTGGTTGGTGCATTATGTCCCCATCAACCGCGTGTGTCGGGATAAGTTGATGGTGACGGTTTAAAAAATCCAGTGTTTGCGGGTGAATTTTTGACAGTTACACCGCACACAAAGTGAACAGGTCGTTGCAAACCAAGGTCCTCCAGCTTCAGGGCAGATTCGAACTGACATAGTGCTCTGTGGGAGCAAGCGAATCATTTGAAAGAATCACCTATTTCATGAGGTTACAAAAAAGTAAATATCCTTCGGCCAATACACTATCCGACAACTTACTCGTGCTGCGTTCGTTTGTCTTTCGGCTGCCTTGTTCATGGACATAATGCATATTTCAATATCGTTCGTGCAACGACCAAATTGAACTCGTAAGTTCGGTAAGAGTTCGGTAACCACGACCACTGGATAAGATGAGTTTGTGACGTCTGAAGTGTTTTTCTTGTATGGATGGACTACTTTAGCTGTGTATTAATAGGCCAGCATTCAAATTTGGACGTTAATCCGAACCTTACGTTTTTCAGATATTGTAAGTGGTTAAGTCTGAGTTTAAAGTGAGTTTTGTCGGAATTTCTAATTTACACTCGATGTGCACAATTCTAGTCCAGCAATGAAGTGAATTACTTCTATGAAGGCCTGAAAAAACCTGGTGATATTTCAGCTTTTCTGATTTCTATGGACTGTAGTGTCTATGTGCTATGTAGTCTATGTGTCTATGAATGATTGACTTTTTCCTAAAACAGTCGTGTCTTTACCGGAATCAAGCAGCAGTTCGTACCTCGCAGGCTGCTTTGTGGATTCGGATTTGTAACAGTCCTGATATTATAGTATACCAGCGTGTAGGCTGCCTGCGGTCTAGCTGACTGTTTTGCCCCAGAGATCAGCGATAACCAAGGTGAAGAGTACTACCACAAGACCGACGAAGTGCACCGAGTATGTTGTGTGCAGCTCCAGGCATCCAATTTGAGCATGAAGCTATTTCGTTAGTTTTAATCGTTCCCCACGCAGGATTCGATGTTACATCCTCCCATCAACTCCCGGTCTACTGTGTCCAGCAGCAAAGAAGTTGTGCACCATATCTTACATTTCTCTCTCTCTCTCTCTCTCTCTCTTGACAATCAAATCCATATTGCTGTGCGTCAGATGTAGCATTAAAGTGGCCTTGGCTGTCAGCCTGTTTGGTGCGCTTTCGTTCTATCTCGGTGCGATGCGCCAGTCAGCCGCGATCGATACACACGTTACTCCCTCTTCTATTAGCCGCGAAAAGCCGTTCTGTTGGAAACAGGTCCGCTGTTGGGCACAATGTGTTCAATCTGAATTGGTCATTTATTTGTTGTATGTACAATTCTCCCATAGGTGGAGAAAAAACTGCCAACGCAGCAACAACTGATGCATGCTCCCGAAACTTTCCAGCATGTAGTAACACAGTGAAGCACCCTTCACGCTCTCGTTGTTCGAGACTGTTACGTTTTTTTTGTCTGTGAATACATGCCGTTTTATAGACCAGTCATGATTTAATCCAACTACACGATGTACACAGAACATCTGTTTGGATGCACACTGTTTAAACGTGAATAGCAAACAACCAGCTTGTTAGACGTCAACCCATCACCGTTACTCCAGTGAACTCCTCCATGGGACCTGCAAACCTAAGTGCAGTCTCAATGAGTGCCTTCTGATCCTTATTTTTTTATCCCAGGTGTACTGAAGTTTGGTATCGTGCAGTGCTTATTCGACTGCGTTCGATCCCTTGGTACAACTATTTGAGGCGGGCCTGAGCGTGCGCTTGTTAGGACAGAAACGCCCTTATCGTTTAGGCAAAACAGTGTTGTGAGTGGGTACCTTTGAACGGGAGCTACAATCATCCCCCATAAGGTTCCATATCATCACCATCATTGACAATAATACACCAGTACTACATAGTGCTGCTTAACAGCCATACAACATGAAGACAGAAAACCTTAGTAAGGTGTGGAAAAAAGTGCAGGTGTTGGGGCTTGGTCAGAGAAAGCCTTATTCCCCCAAGGAAAACTATCAACACTAAGTTTTCCACTTCTTCGGACAGCATTGAAATGAATACATCTGAACACCTTACCGAAGTAAGGCGTCTTCAGCGGAAACAACCCAGTGTCCTTTGTGAACCTCCTCGTCATAAGTTCAGCGCAGAACGACAGGTAAACTTTACCTAGGGAAGGGAAGCATGCGCGCAACTGGGATCAGTTGCGTGTCATTTCCTGCAGGGGTTTCCAACCACCCACAAGCAAGATCACGTAGGCCCTTGTCAGGAAGGCGTGGAGATCCCACAACACTCAGTTTGGCAGTATCAGCTTTCATTTCATATTGCCATGTCATGGCCTATTCGCCGCGAACATTTCGCCTAAAATCGTTCGGTTGATGGAAGTTTGGCATGCTTGACACATGTCCCAGTCTGGTAGGTTTAATCTGCTGCTCCAACGAATCGGATCTGTTACCCACTTACGCACCAAGAGGTTCCATACATCTTTCACAAAAACGATTTCCAGTTCCAAAAAACTTCCACTTAAGTGGATGGGGATTCTTCCCATCAAGTCTCTGAATAAAGACTGCCACGTTGCAGTAGGCGCCCTTTTTCCAACAAAACAGTGCATCATACAGATCACTCACAATTTTGACTATTCTCACTCCACCCTACGGAAAGCTGGTTTATGCGCACTAACAATTAGTCCCTTGCTTATTTCCAGCTTTTAATAGTGTATGCTATGACTGTATTTTCAGGGTGGAATTTGAGTGATTTTGCAGTAGTTGTCTTAAGTTCGTCAGCTGCATACCCCGGATGCGATGATCGATCAACCGTACTCGTACCCGATCATACGATTTAAGCTGCACCGATTTTGGTTGTGGGACTGAGAGCTCGTTAGTGTTTGGTAAGGGGTTGTGGAGTGAAGGTAAAGGAAGGGAACAAGCGGTTTAGTTGAAACTGCTTCATCTGTTGATTAGGGCCGCACACTGGTGAACGGAGAATCATTTCGAGAAACGGTTTTCTAGAGCGCAACGTGTATAAACGGCTGACGACGACTTGATATTATACACTTCATGCTCACGCCTATCATGATCATCTGAGCATAATTTTCAAGAGTGATCGGATATCGTTACCGTTTCTCGTCACCGTTTCTCTCACTGGATATCTCTGAAAAAATAGCCGGAAATCGGCAGACTATGATCCTATCGGGGCTCACTCACGAAGAGATGACTCAGTTGGTCGGAGCGCCAATTTACTGACCGGAAGGTCCGTCGTTCGAACCCGACCTTTGCCTCTCGACTTCCCTGTCTAGCCTTGGGCAACCTGGCAATATCCCAACTATCATGCTTCCTTCAGGTAGCATGGCAGTTAGCACCGAAAGGGTGCTATAGCTGATTCTTACAAAGAGAACCCCTTAGGAATATAACTCTGGGTAAAAATAGAGTTCGAATATTTAGCGACTCTGTTGTTGTAACATCAGTCTGTTTGGACTCAGACGCACGATTATCTCGGTACGTGTGGCGCTTTTATTTGAGAATTGCGACGTCCGACAACTCAGATGAAACCCAGGTTTCCGTCTCACTGCAAAGGCCAATAAAGCATAACAAAAAGATGAATCAGGTTTGGTTGCAAGCCAGCCAAAGTCGCGGCTTAACTACAATCTTTCAGAGCCTGATGGAACAACAGCTAAGGCACACGGACGGCTGTGAACACCACTGTCTTCATGTGGTGTTTTGTTGTTTTTGTTTTTCCGGCCAAACCCTCACACCTCCACTGGTATTGGCCAGAACACGCCAGTTTGTAATTTTTGGCCTTGTTTGATGCTTGCACCACTGACAGAAATGAGGTATTCGGAACGGCATCGGTCAGCGGTTTTCAGTACGGCTGGCCCCGAAGCTCGTTCACGGCCGAACAGTCTAGCCACAAACACAATTTTTTATTCACTCAGTTGTGACATAACGGACAACCGAGTCATCGCAGATACAAGGTCAAACACAACGAGACAATGTTAGTGCAATGCAATCAACTAATCTTTCCAGTATTAAAACCATCCCTGTACAAGTACCAGCCGTGGTTATCACATAAAGCGAGGAGCATACTTTGGAAATGATACGTTCTCCTTGTTGAAGTGAACAGCCATAAGAAGTGAACTTTGAGCGTAGTGTTTCCGAACTCTGTCGAACAAAACAGTGTCCTGTCGTCATATCCCATCCAATTCTGTTCATTTTTGGTTGAAGCCCGTCATCTTTAAACAGTGGCTCCCACTGACATCGAAAAGCGAATTTCCGCGACACTTTACCCGTCAACTGGGGCGCTCACCTTAACGTGATGTAGGCATTCTCAGGGTTTCAGCACTATAAGTCTGAAAAATTCGCCGTGCTGTCGTTGCGTGGCAATTGAGTTGGTAACCTCCTGGCAATGACGTTTTCACATCATTTGTTAGCGCTATTCCGAGTGAGCTTATACATTTCTGTGGTTTGTAGGTTGCCGTTAATCTAAAACGTAATGTAGAGTTCTTTATGAATTCACCTTTACGGTACTACGCACTGGTGATGTGCCATCCTACGGCAGTGAAGCATCGGTGTTGAACACGGATGTCATGCTGTCGATGATGATGGTGATGATGATGATGTGCCATCCCAGTCGATTTCTCAATGTTTTAATCTGGACCCCGTTGCTCTTTCAAATCTGTTAGATTGGTTCCCAAACGCATTGTTTCCACGGAAGTGGCATGGCTCCCGGTCACATGCTGGGTGCAATGAAACCTGGATGCTATCCAGCTGATCACCATCAAGCTTACGGTTTGCGATTTCTGCCTCCTCACCTCTGCACGCATTCGCCAGGCAGCCTTCCTGTCCTTAACGGCGGTTGCTATGGATTCACTTACCCTCCTATCCCTACCTATCCTGACGGTGATAGATGGAGTTATCCACCCAAACCCATGTACTCCTCATCCTCTTCATCCATGGCTAACCCACCGTACTATTCGGTCGCACAAAGTTCCTCAAGACCGCCACCATTTATACAGCAACCTGGTTTCCCGTTCGTACAACATCGAGACGAATGGTACTCCTCGCAGTTTCCACCAGTCTCTATGCATCGGCATCCACAAAGCTCTACAACTTACATCAGTACCTCTTTGTCAGCTATTTTGTCTCCGATTGCTGGCCAGCGCCGGCATCATCCCCAATTGAAGAATCCCTCCGGTGATGAACAAGAAGTCAAATTTTTCCCAGATTCCCTCGGTTTGGATGATCCAGCCCAGCACAAACACGCGAGCATATACCATCGCTCAGTTCCGTTGCTGGACCGCTCGGTCAGTCAACTTCATTGTGCTGCACCGCTTGGGCTTGATCCGTATCTGGTCCAGCATCAACAGAATAACTCTACGGCTCAGATACCTCTGGACTGGCAACAGTTAAGCACAAACCCCTCTCTTGGATATTCTTTACAGCGTTTGTCCGACCCTTCTGCAGGATTGGAGACAAATTCAAACGAAGGCAAGTCAATCTCTTGTCTTTTATTCTTCCGTAGGTTGTTGCTTAATCCTGACTGCCAACGCGTAAATCTCAGTTCGCCCACCTTCTCCATCGAGAGTATGCTTTTTAAAAGTTGGTTCGGTTAAGGAGACTACTCACAAGGTTGCTGAAAACTCTTCGACAGCCCACGACCGGTTTCGCCCTTCTTGGGGCTCATCAAGTAGGCACAGTCCCCGAGTTTCCATCAACCTTATGTTCTACTTGGACTTATCCACCCATGTTTGGTCCTGTGGTTCTTACTCATAAACTGGAACCGCTAATTATTGGTCGTTTCTCCGTTCACAAGCTCAAAAATAATTGGGATGCGTTATACGGGCGAACGCTGATAGGTTAGTCGTTGTTTTGTTTGCCGAGCTGATTACTTAGGCTGCAAACCACCACTAGGAAGTACATCAACTCACCATTGTGCAGTGTGGAAGTACGGTGCGTACGCATCAAACATCCAGGATAAATTTCGAAGCCTAAATCATTAACTGTTTGGCGGACGTGCAACTTGATGTGCCCTTATGCGTACGGCAAATTTACAAGTTGCCCTCGTAGTGCTCAAATTTTCCGACTATTTCACAACACCTCAACGTCAATGGTCTACCAATTCAATCTTCGTTTTTTATAAGCATGCGCGCTTTGGTCTATGGTGTTGTTTTTGGTCACATTTGTTCGAGGTTTGTACCACCGTCTACCTCTTGAGAAACCAGTATAAGGGACCGACCCAAACCGATCTGTTCTAGAGGGATATGTAACTGCTTAAAACAGCACTAGGGGATAAATCAAAAGTAGTCTCTTCTAAGAGATCCCTCCAGGGGCGAAAACTGCACTCGATGTAGTGCATATGGATTGGTATCCGGGCGGTTTGGGTCCTGCCCTTTGTTCCTTGAGTTTCCAACCGTCCTCTGTCTCTATACTCTTACAATTTCGAAACAGCGTAAGATACTTTTTTTGTGTGAATTTTGGCAAGATAGACCGAGAATAAGCTGGATCCCATGGGAAGGTTTAGGCGCAGTGTGGGATGTAAGTAGTAAGTGTGTAAATCGAAAGACATCACAGCCCTGACTGACGTTTCGATTATCGACGCTCTCTAATAAAACAGGAACACGAGTCAGTAGTTACGTGTTTTGACTGGTTCAACCAAGGGTTTAGTTGTGTTTGCATGCTTTTGTTGATAGCTGTTGCCATTGACCAAGGAAATATGATTATCTAAACCTATTATGGCCTTGTGTGGTTTGGAACCCAGACACCCTAGTTTATGTTACCGATAAAGCTCTCTGGTTTTATCCAGAGAGCTTTCATTGTGCTGAGTCGTATTTTAGTGTATCCTTGTCTTATGCGTTGGCTTGTCTGGGTGTTCCGCGCGAATTCCCTGGCAATCCTGTAATGTTAAACTGAACTTACCGGTTCCAAGAGAGACTTTCTGTCGCCACAACTATACAAACGAAACGGGCTGTCGGCAAGCAGGGATGCGATCGGGTTCCAATGTTAGGTTCTTCTCAGATGGATCTGCCGATGAACTGCTTGAACGTGTCATACGATGGCACTAGAAGTGACCGTGACCAGCCTAAGGTTAGCTCATAACTTTAGAAATGCTCACAACAGAGTTGTGTTAGTTCATTTGGGTGCTCACACCCGAGTGTTCACGTTTGACTAAAGCGTGACTGCCTCAATCCCATAGTCCTTTGAATCCATTCTTTAATTTTGCATGTCATTCCGTTTTTCTTGATTCGTACTTGTACCCAACCACAGATAACATTCGCTACAGTCGTGTGGGCGCCTGACTTGACAGGTTTGTTTTTTGTTTGTTCCTGTGCTGTTTAGCCATCGTCATCAACGTAGCCACTTAGGTGCACAATCACTTCAGTCACTTCTCTCACCTCTATAACCTGCACTGGACACTGGCTATAGTCGTTCATTTTCGGTGCTTGATTATCATTCTGAAACCTTGGTGATTATATGCCTTGTGTTTGTTTTCTATGTCGTTGTTGGTTGTGTTGTCTTTGGCCGCCTCAATTGCCTTAGTTCATTGTTTATTCAAAAATGGTTCTCTGCTCATTTAATGCGATTTGCCGAGGACTTCCCAATGCTTAACCAATCCATACGTGTTTTCTTCGTTGGTTTGATACTTTTCGCTCTGTCTGGGTCACCACGTAATTCAGCTTATTTGTATCTGGTTTTGATGTCCATAATTTTTCCAAATGGAGACTTGCCAGTGTATTGGTGTCGATTGCGAACAAACTCTCTTCCAGTGAGCACCAGAAGCAACGACTTGTCTGTTGTACATTACGCAGGATAAATGCAAAGCTAGTGGAGTTTTTAGATACTTCAATCGATTTGTGAAGTGAACTAGTTTTACGGGCAGAGGTATACGAAAACAAATGAACACTTATGCAGTAGATTCGAAAACATCTATTAACGGAATGATCGTGAATGGGAACCACTCTTCACCAGGGGGTCCATCGAACTGACTTTTTTTCATGAATCGGACGATCGTGATCGTGTGAAAGCAACGTTGACTGCTCACAGAATCACAGTTATTGTTTTCTTGATACTGATTACGCCTGTGCTTCGGTTTATTCTTCCTCCTCTGACCTCACACAAATGCGTGGGAATGTGCACCAGTCCATCCATCCTACCAATGAGCACTAGTCGGATTCAAGCCACATATTCCACCATGTTTGGTTAAACGATCAGCGCCGATAGACTAGTTTATCTGTGAATAATTCACTGATCCGCATGAAGATGTCGGTGCATTTTTTCCGATGTATAATCCAGCCCAACCAGGCAACAGGTGCATACTGTTGGATTAGTCAGAGTCGGGGAGCATGGTTAGAGGATTAACAATGAATCGGTCTCCCGATCATACATGAATCGAGGTGGTTCGAGTGGTCACTATGGTGGGAAATTCCATGCCTCTGTCACAATCATAGTAATCCGTGATAGCATAAACTTACCGATGATTATACCCGGTGGTTAAACTGAGGTGGGATCTTGGTCATTGCACTAGCAACGTCCAAATTTGGTTTAGCCAAAGTCAAACCACATGTCTTAGATGGTGTGGCTAGACGAGCAAATGCGAGTTGACTGGTCCGTTTAATTAAGCAAGTAAAGAAGTGTTCGGAGGCCAGCCATCCCTAATAACCGAGCATCACATCATGTGGACGGATGTGTCACGTGCAAGACACGGACCAAACGAAGACATGTCCTGATTAGTCAGAATGCCAGCCAATCCGAGTCAAGCACCTGTGACTCGACGCTTCTCGCCCCTTCACGGAGATTCTGGGACGAACTTGTGGAACACTCTGTGACTACCCTATAAATACAGTTGTAATAATCTTCCTTGGTCTCCATAAAGGGCTGTGTAGGGCTACCGTGCCTTTTGATATGCCGTAGTGAGCGGAGCAGGAAGCCTAGGGACCGATACAGAGTTGCACTAACGTTCAGCAAGTCACAACAAGAAGCCAATTTGCACCAAAGTCTGCTTTAGGTCATCTAGTGAAGTGTGATGCACCTCTTTCATATCATATCCTCAAGAGATTGATAGTAGCCTTCATGAACTATCCTCCATTCATTTACAAGGGAGATAGATACGTGTTCATTGATCACTTTCAATGAGATTTCAATGAGGCTCATATTCATCTTAAAGTCTTGAAATTCTGTTTGGATGTCAGTCGGCACGCTGACCACTGACCCTTATAATTCTGCGATAAAAGTAAGCGTAAGGTAAGTAAGGGTATGGTGCATTAGAGTGTGGGTTCTATCCAGAACCACTGGCCTAGTTGTGTGGCGATAAACTAACCGCTCGTGGTCTTTGAGGAGTTATGCTATCTCGGATACGTGCTTTTGATTCCTTCACAAGCCTTGACAGTGAGGTCGTCAAAAAGCAGAAGAGTGTAACTGGAGGTTGTTCAAATCACTGAAAAAATTCTTACTGATAAAAGTCAAGGCTATCGACTAAATGCTGCGCAGAAAACAATAATGTGTTGAGCACATACCTGTCGTCTGCTTGCCAAATGGATTATATGACACTTAATAATTTACTGGGCTTTGCTCAGAGAAACGTTGATTTTCATTACCACTTCAGTGATTGACAATCGCCCGAAACTGCGCCCATCACGTCATTCCAGTATATTTTGTTTCATCTTGATTTGTTAAATCTTTACACAATCCCCTGCGTTTTGCTTCACTGAGAGTCAGAATCTTTCGTTTCACCATTTTCCTTGATCGTGGCTGGAATTGAACAAGTCGAACCTGTCTGCTTCATATGTGGTGTTTACACCTCCCCTAAGCTATGTCAGTGCATCGCTGATCAGCGGAACGTCCGTTTGCTTGTGCAGCTACCGTGCGTGGGGTATGCATCAGAAGATACAATCGGAGAACCTAGTCATTCTTGATCCATTTCGTTTCCACATGTTCGTAAATGGCTTCAATGAAGACTTTATCAAGATATTCTCGGCTTTTACTCTTTTTGGACTGATCAAGTGTGTGTAAAATCTGTGGTCTTGTCATTGTTTCACGTCGTGTGTGCTGTAGCGTTTTTATGGTCCACATCACTGACCTTGGATATTAGTTTGTTCATCTTGGAGAACATAATGTTCGCTTTTACTTTGGGATTCACCTTTCCATACTCAACTTTTTTCTTGCCATAATGGCTGTCACTAGCATACTATTGTACAACTCGCCCGCCTTAATTCTCATTCCGCTTTCTCTCCTTAAACTTGTCGTGATTTGCTCAGTGTGCGGTGTAATTCCAGTGCCGCTGTTTGTTGTAAACCGCAGTTGGCTTAAATTTTAAATGTGCTGTGTGGTATTTCTGCTGGCACTGCTGTTGCTGTGGGCGTTTTTCATGCCGTTGGTTCCAATTTATATTCGTGATATATTGATTTTACCAGGTCTGTCAATCCTCCCGGGCATTCTTTCTGAGACAAATGACATTGGCAGCCGCCAACTAACGGGGACTGGCAGTCATCTGTGGCCAGGTGAGTCACTTCCAGGAGCTCCAGGACATCTTCCGGCAGTGCCACAGCAACAACGACAATGTGAAGAACTGTTGAGTGATGGGCCGACTGCAGAGGCATTTCAAGCAGGGCATCTTCGCTTGAATTCCGTCCAGAGAGGTTATCTGTCTTGTAGATTACAAGAAGAACGAGCCCGATTTGCTTTGCTCCAGGCACAGTTTTCTAAACAACTTTGTGACACATGGGCTTGTCTGCAGGTCACCCGCTCACCTGGAGAGCTAAAGTCGAGTGAACTATATAGTCCCATTCTGCGAAACCAATCCAATTCCAAGTGAGTGTTGACTGTTGCTATGTTTGGAACTATCGCTAATGGTTCGTGCGATTGTAGTTCTGTCTCTATGGCTTACCAGCTGTGTGGCGCGGTGAAAATGGTACAGAAGCGTGCTCTCTCATAGGGTGGCAAGTTTCGTGTGATCCATTCTACACGGAACCACACATGGGGTCTGTGTTTCTGCCACTCTCTGTTATCGTTCGACTCTGGTCGTCAAGTGTTCCTGTTCCGTTTTTTGCTAGAAAAATTAATGTCAACATCAGCAAGTGTGCATTAAATAAGATAATTTTTCTATGGGAACGTTATTTTAAAAATAAAGTGAGCCGCTTACCTCGATCTTGAAAACTTTATTTAGTGATCATTGACAGGGTGAGACGAAGCACAGCAACCAGATTTGAAAACGTCCCTACATGTAGATAATCATCATCATCATCGACAGCATGACATCAGTGTTGAACACCGATGCTTCACTGCCGTACAGCTATGGTTTATTTGAAAGCCTTATTGTAAAGAAAAGAATAAAGGTGGATGGGGAGGAGACTTAGTGCTAGCTTGCCACAATTATTCTGAGGTGCCTATACCTTGTTGTGTCGTCCGGAGGTAACCCGTCAACTCGCGTAAGGAAGAAGCCAAAGTCGAGCACAGGAACAGGTCTTTTTTTGCCGCGAAGTAAGGCGGTTTATATACATCGGAAAAAATGGCATGAATTGGCTGAGACTTTCTCTTCAACCAAATAACCAATAGGAACCAACAGTTATGCACGGTCGAGCAGAAAAATAACGAAATGCAACGACCAATAGGAGTCACACGTGAGAGCGGAACGAGGATAAATTAATAGGGACTTAGTACGATGCAATCTGGTGGCTGAACGTGTGGTGACGACAAATATAAGCAGAATGTGAGAATTGACCAGAAACGATCAGTACGTAGTTAAGACGAAATTTTAGACAATTAACAGTTTCGTTCTGGTAACATTTCCCCCTTTTAAAAATTTGGTTACCTGGGATATGCATAACTTTGTCTTCTTGGGTCAACCCGTAGAAATGCATGACTTTTTCCACTGGACTTTCGTAGTTCCCCCCTTCGTCCCATCCTTTCAGTAGTTTCTCTGCGTTTTCGGCTAGTTTTTCTGGGTTGTTTTCGATAAATTCTTTGATATGTTCTACTTTGTCCCATCTGGTTGGATGTAAACCAAACAGGGACCAGAAGTGGTCATAGAAGGGTTTTACCCAATCCCATCTATCGATCAGAGTGAAGAGTAGGTTTTGAGCTGGAATGGGAAATATGCGGTCGTACCACCATTTCTTTTGTACGCTATCCATCCTAATGACTAGTTGACCCAATTCATGTGTTTAAATAGAAGACAGGTTAGGAGCAAAAAAGTAAAATTTCAAATACTTTTAAAATACCAATTACGGAAATGGCAAGTACACAATTGACATGGGGGTTCTGGTAGTTCATCACTACCCACCTGCACATAAAATTTGTAGTAGAAACAGCGTTGTAGTATAGCTTTAGCGTCCGCGTCTAGTACATAATACACAAGATTGTTGGTGGTGGTGATTAGAACAGGTAGTCTTTGTAGTCGTTCGTCTTTTTGATGTTTTACATGAATATCGAACGGATTTCCTCCCAGTAACTCTTTGAAGTCATTCACTGTGAGTTGAGTAATTCTTGGTTCCTGCATGAGAGCAAGTGATTTGTTCAGCAAGTTCATGAGGAAAAATTGGCTGTGGTCACCGGATCTTTGAACAGTGCCGTATATGTAATTTTCGGCTATCAGTTTCACAAACAGGGTTTTCCCAGTGGTTGTTGGTCCTTCAATGACGAATGCGTTTTTTCTCTTGCACATCTTATTCATTACGAGAGCGAGTCCGTTAGCATTTGCTGTTTATTGATCTTATTCGCCTGCTTTAATCTATCTAGCCATCTTTCTCCTTCTAGGGTATCTGCCGGATGTTGACATTCTCTTGAATGATAATTTCCCATGAGTACTTCTTCAAAGCGCATAGCTAGTTGTTTTGCTAACATTCCTGCGATGTAGTTGTTTATGGAGTGTTTAGCGGTTGAATAGTTGTCGGCGTTTAGAGTGCCAACCACCTCGCTTTGAGAGAAACACTCGTGCGAATTGTTTGTTTGTGGATCACGGAGATCACTACCACTTTGTCTTCGAATGTTGTCCACAAAACAAAAACTGAACAATCCAAAGACTCATTGAAAGTGGAAATCTAGATAGAAGACAATCTATGTCTATTATGGCTACCATCCAACCAGTTATTAATTCGAATCACTTTGCGGCATACCTGGTTAGAGCTGCACAAACACCAATATCATGTGTGGGCAAGAAGTTGGAACACCTTCGTGATGACTTGTATATGGTGCCGAGGGAAAGAAAGGATTGTGCTACCCTATTACGAGATGATCGGGGATCAAAACAGAAGCACAATAACATCAATCGCAAACGCAGGAGAGAATTGATGAAGAGTCTAATAGAAGCTTATGACGCAAGGAGTTATAATGAATTTTACATGGCCATGTCGTGTGATGATCGCGATGATATCTACGATGAATACGGACCTCAATGGAAGGAAACCGCTGAACACTCCATAAACAACTACATCGCAGGAATGTTAGCAAAACAACTAGCTATGCGCTTTGAAGAAGTACTCATGGGAAATTATCATTCAAGAGAATGTCAACATCCGGCAGATACCCTAGAAGGAGAAAGATGGCTAGATAGATTAAAGCAGGCGAATAAGATCAATAAACAGCAAATGCTAACGGACTCGCTCTCGTAATGAATAAGATGTGCAAGAGAAAAAACGCATTCGTCATTGAAGGACCAACAACCACTGGGAAAACCCTGTTTGTGAAACTAATAGCCGAAAATTACATATACGGTACTGTTCAAAGATCCGGTGACCACAGCCAATTTTTCCTCATGAACTTGCTGAACAAATCACTTGCTCTCATGCAGGAACCAAGAATTACTCAACTCACAGTGAATGACTTCAAAGAGTTACTGGGAGGAAATCCGTTCGATATTCATGTAGAACATCAAAAAGACGAACGACTACAAAGACTACCTGTTTTAATCACCACCAACAACAATCTTGTGTATTATGTACTAGATGCGGACGCTAAAGCTATACTACAACGCTGTTTCTACTACAAATTTTATGTGCAGGTGGGTAGTGATGAACTACCAGAACCCCCATGTCAATTGTGTACTTGCCATTTCCGTAATTGGCATTTTAAAAGTATGTGAAGTTTTACTTCTTTGCTCCTAACCTGTCTTCTATTTAAACACATGAATTGGGTCAACTAGTCATTAGGATGGATAGCGTACAAAAGAAATGGTGGTACGACCGCATATTTCCCATTCCAGCTCAAAACCTACTCTTCACTCTGATCGATAGATGGGATTGGGTAAAACCCTTCTATGACCACTTCTGGTCCCTGTTTGGTTTACATCCAACCAGATGGGACAAAGTAGAACATATCAAAGAATTTATCGAAAACAACCCAGAAAAACTAGCCGAAAACGCAGAGAAACTACTGAAAGGATGGGACGAAGGGGGGAACTACGAAAGTCCAGTGGAAAAAGTCATGCATTTCTACGACACATATATGATATCAGGCACCATGCAAAGAAGAAAATTAAGAGATATGCTCAAAAAATGCCACCAATACCGAAACACCCAATCGATACCTAGATGCAAGATATGAATTATCGAAAAATAATCCCGACGTGCAACCCTACACAGGAGAGAAACTACACTGGCTAGAAACTAGACGCAAAAGATATCGACGATGAGACCCCATAGTAGAACAATCACCGGAAAATGATGATGAAATCCACTCCACACCTCCGACCACACCACCAAAAACCACTATAAAACCCGAAGAACACGAAACTAAGCCCACAACTACAACAACCACCGTCTCAGGACAGACGTACACAACTGACGAGCACAAACTTACCACAACAACAAAAACACCCGAAGAAGTCTCGATTATGGAACCGAAAAGACAAAGACTGGACACTAAACAAGAGGAAGAATCTTACGGATCAAACATCGCAGTAGCTAAACCTGCTCAATCACTGTTCGGTATCCACTACTACAAGACCGACATTACAGTTGTCAGAAAACAACACCTCACTCTCGCACAATACAAGCCAGCGGACACGGGGATCACGCAGTACTTAGTCACATGCATCCCGTATCAGTGATTCGAATTTTGCAAAATTAATAAAGGTGGTGACAACTTTAGAGACCCCTTGTAATCCTCGTCAAAGTCTACGACTACACACATTATAATACTGGTACTATTCGGTTTAGCCATTTTGTACCACTGCAGCAGAGCCTTAGTTCGACTACACAACAGGACACGCCAGCGCTCAACACAACCCCCTATGCATACATAGCCAAAGATTCACTAGGTATACTAGACAGTATCACAGCACCCACAGCAATCGACGTAAACGTAATGGGTAGATCAACAACTAAAACTATCAAGCAACACCTAGTGGTCGAAAACCAGTGACGAAGGTCTTATGGGACTAGCTAATGTAAAAACATTCCATCAAGGAGAAACATTACACTACAACTTCCGATTCGACAACCAAATTAACTGCCTGAAACAAGGTGTACCACAATACAGCAGCACTACAGCAACCTACCTGCCGCAAGCACGCCACGCCGGTCAATGCGGGGATTGCTATGTCAACCGTAATAAGTGATACCGTCAACGGAGCCATGCGCAAAATACGAGAATACGATCTGCCATTCCTATTCATCTTCCTCCCATACATTGAACAAGCCAACTCAAGTGAAACCATCGCAAGACTTTACGCCCATGTACTCATGGAAACAGAATTAAACTTCACTCTCTGGACAGTCCCTGATGGCGCCAAACATCTAACCGGCAACATGCACAATAAAAACACTAAACAAACTCAGTCACTCATACAGAGACAAATTCCTATGGCAACAAGCGTACCAATTCAACTAATGGAAGACCCAAACACTCTTATTCCACAAACTGCTCCCATTGACATAAACTGGATTTTCATAACGATCACCATGTACTCATTATAAAAGCCAAATTGTCTCAATAAATCCTCTCCTCTGCTCCACTGAAAGTGTCTTGTGTTGTCCTCTCCACTGGTGTTGCACGATTGGTCCCCGTAAAGTCGAAATCTGATTGGCTGGAATTTTTCTAGGTTATGCACACAATGCAACGTTGCATTATGGCAGAACCGCGGAAAAATTCCAGCCAATCAGATTTCGACTTTACGGGGACCAATCGTACAACACCAGTGGAGAGGACAACACAAGACACTTTNAGGACCAACAGCCACTGGGAAAACCCTGTTTGTGAAACTAATAGCCGAAAATTACATATACGGTACTGTTCAAAGATCCGGTGACCACAGCCAATTTTTCCTCATGAACTTGCTGAACAAATCACTTGCTCTCATGCAGGAACCAAGAATTACTCAACTCACAGTGAATGACTTCAAAGAGTTACTGGGAGGAAATCCGTTCGATATTCATGTAGAACATCAAAAAGACGAACGACTACAAAGACTACCTGTTTTAATCACCACCAACAACAATCTTGTGTATTATGTACTAGATGCGGACGCTAAAGCTATACTACAACGCTGTTTCTACTACAAATTTTATGTGCAGGTGGGTAGTGATGAACTACCAGAACCCCCATGTCAATTGTGTACTTGCCATTTCCGTAATTGGCATTTTAAAAGTATGTGAAGTTTTACTTCTTTGCTCCTAACCTGTCTTCTATTTAAACACATGAATTGGGTCAACTAGTCATTAGGATGGATAGCGTACAAAAGAAATGGTGGTACGACCGCATATTTCCCATTCCAGCTCAAAACCTACTCTTCACTCTGATCGATAGATGGGATTGGGTAAAACCCTTCTATGACCACTTCTGGTCCCTGTTTGGTTTACATCCAACCAGATGGGACAAAGTAGAACATATCAAAGAATTTATCGAAAACAACCCAGAAAAACTAGCCGAAAACGCAGAGAAACTACTGAAAGGATGGGACGAAGGGGGGAACTACGAAAGTCCAGTGGAAAAAGTCATGCATTTCTACGACACATATATGATATCAGGCACCATGCAAAGAAGAAAATTAAGAGATATGCTCAAAAAATGCCACCAATACCGAAACACCCAATCGATACCTAGATGCAAGATATGAATTATCGAAAAATAATCCCGACGTGCAACCCTACACAGGAGAGAAACTACACTGGCTAGAAACTAGACGCAAAAGATATCGACGATGAGACCCCATAGTAGAACAATCACCGGAAAATGATGATGAAATCCACTCCACACCTCCGACCACACCACCAAAAACCACTATAAAACCCGAAGAACACGAAACTAAGCCCACAACTACAACAACCACCGTCTCAGGACAGACGTACACAACTGACGAGCACAAACTTACCACAACAACAAAAACACCCGAAGAAGTCTCGATTATGGAACCGAAAAGACAAAGACTGGACACTAAACAAGAGGAAGAATCTTACGGATCAAACATCGCAGTAGCTAAACCTGCTCAATCACTGTTCGGTATCCACTACTACAAGACCGACATTACAGTTGTCAGAAAACAACACCTCACTCTCGCAAAATACAAGCCAGCGGACACGGGGATCACGCAGTACTTAGTCACATGCATCCCGTATCAGTGATTCGAATTTTGCAAAATTATAAAGGTGGTTGACAACTTTAGAGACCCCTTGTAATCCTCGTCAAAGTCTACGACTACACACATTATAATACTGGTACTATTCGGTTTAGCCATTTTGTACCACTGCAGCAGAGCCTTAGTTCGACTACACAACAGGACACGCCAGCGCTCAACACAACCCCCTATGCATACATAGCCAAAGATTCACTAGGTATACTAGACAGTATCACAGCACCCACAGCAATCGACGTAAACGTAATGGGTAGATCAACAACTAAAACTATCAAGCAACACCTAGTGGTCGAAAACCAGTGACGAAGGTCTTATGGGACTAGCTAATGTAAAAACATTCCATCAAGGAGAAACATTACACTACAACTTCCGATTCGACAACCAAATTAACTGCCTGAAACAAGGTGTACCACAATACAGCAGCACTACAGCAACCTACCTGCCGCAAGCACGCCACGCCGGTCAATGCGGGGATTGCTATGTCAACCGTAATAAGTGATACCGTCAACGGAGCCATGCGCAAAATACGAGAATACGATCTGCCATTCCTATTCATCTTCCTCCCATACATTGAACAAGCCAACTCAAGTGAAACCATCGCAAGACTTTACGCCCATGTACTCATGGAAACAGAATTAAACTTCACTCTCTGGACAGTCCCTGATGGCGCCAAACATCTAACCGGCAACATGCACAATAAAAACACTAAACAAACTCAGTCACTCATACAGAGACAAATTCCTATGGCAACAAGCGTACGTAGATAAACAACTAAAACTACCAAGCAACACCTAGTGGTCGAAAACCAGTGACGAAGGTCTTATGGGACTAGCTAATGTAAAAACATTCCATCAAGGAGAAACATTACACTACAACTTCCGATTCGACAACCAAATGAACCGCGGAAAAATTCCAGCCAATCAGATTTCGACTTTACGGGGACCAATCGTACAACACCAGTGGAGAGGACAACACAAGAATTCTTTCACTCAGGCGATCTGGATGGAAACTGACAACAAGTACGCCACTGACGTCGGTTGGCAGCCGTATATTGTGATGTCTCCAACCAGGCACAGTGAGGATCACGTGGTCCCAATCCCGGAAGGCGAGTAGCACCGACAACAAGCAAGCGTTTCGCCATCTCTTTTATACTCCTCTGCCAAGACAAGGGTTGGCCACCTCTCTGTTTACGCCACTCTGAGTTGGGCATGGAAAACAGCACTCTCTTCGGCAAACAATGGTCCGGCATACGCTCGAATAGGCCAATTCTCACGTCACAAGGGCTGAGACGACGGTTAAAACTTTGTGTGCATTGTTTGGTGTATCAGATCAAGGTTAAGCTGACTATGATTTTAATCTTTCCGTCGAACAACTTCTGCACTTTTTTATTTAAACGTTTTTAGTGACCTACGCCTTGACCCTGCTGGTGCTTCAGACGGAGCATCAACCGGTGGGGGTTGTGGCACTCTAGCAGTACCTGGAACTTCTAGTGCTTACGTAGCATTGGATCAACTTTGCATCGGGCTACATGAAAATGAACCTTCTGAGCCTCAGCAACCGACGCAAGCGAATCAGCTCGTTTGGGAGCAGTCAGAACCCAATATGGAAGATTTGTCAACCAATGAAATGACATGCGACCCATTTATGGATGAACTGGGTCAAAACCGAACTGTGCTGGAGCGCGATAATGACGCGTATCGCCATCCCGCAATTCCAAGTATGTCTCAAGGGTTGTGTTTCAGAAATGTCGGATGGCCCATTCAACACTGGTCTTACTTTATGCTGACCTTATACGTGTTTCTACCTATTTAGATACTATTTTTGAACCTTCTTTATCCTGGAGGACCCTTGTTCCTCATAACTAACCTGGTCTCATCCTTCCACGTGAGTATTCACTGTAGCCACTTATCGCTCTCGACATATCGTGGATTTTCGGGTTTTCAGACAAAACCTCCCGCGGCTAAGTGAATCATTGTAATCACTATCTAGGCTCCTTCACCAGTTTGCGACTTAATCAACCAACCATTTTTGCATGCACTGAATACTATCATATAAATCTCGGAAAAATGCTAGTGGCTGTAGGGATTAATCATGAGCATCCCTGCTAATAGTTCGGTATACAGGTTTCGCATCGTGCCTCTAGGTGGCTCGGAGTACTTTTCTTTGAGGTTTTTGATTTTGGTCTCTCAAAGAGCATTAGTCTTAAGCCACACCTCACCTAAGCGAATTGCATTGGTCTTCGCTGAAAATGTGAGTTCATCCAACGGAAATTGATTAATACCCCCTATACATATTCGGACACCACTGGGAAGCACTATGTTACTCTGATTTTTGAACGAAAATCTATCTAACCTGGTTTAAGATAAAAATATGATTCCTGACGAGGTACAACGTGTAGGGTTGTTGCGAATTCCCGGACAATCAGCTCTAACACAACATTCACCAGAACGCCTCCGTCGAAGAACGATTTTGAAAGCATAAAAATTTTTTTCACTGCAGTTCAGCTTCGATGAAGGAATCTCCGAAAACCGAAGTGAAGACACTCTCTCGCTTCCCATGTGACTGATTTGCCCTGCAAAGGAAAATGCCCCGTACCATTGGTTTGGATTTGTCAGTTTATCACTTGAAACAGTTCATATTATATGTACGCTTGCCACGCGTTTCGACTGAACTGTACTTGATGTAGCCGATAATCTAGCCTTGGACACGCGTAGCGCCACTTATTGGAACATTTGAAGTTGCAATACGGCTGAAGGACACAATGAGACGACGTACGGTAACTCATTATTTTACGGATCTCCAATAGTGATAATCGCAATAGTACTTATAATAGTAAATGTCATAGTTTACCTTTTTATGTAAAAATACCTCCTTAGTAACTTGCCTTAATTGGTGGTTTTTATTCAAGTTTAGCTAGGTGAGCGAACCCACAGTTTCTCATCCCAACCTCACAAAAGTTGTCAAAAGAAGTCCCTGGTGCAGGTAAAACTTAATCGTGTCATTGCATCATGCGTGCATTCCTGTTCCAAGAGGGAACATTCCCGTCGAAGCCTTTTGAAATACCTCGAATGGATTTCCTCCTGCCAGAAGGACACTATCAATTTTTCCCTTTTGAGGCCTATTTTTCGACTTTTCATTAGTCCACTGACTCTGTAGTGCCATGCCGGTAGAACTCGAGCGTTGCATACGTCATCCTCTTGCCCCTTTTTGACAGCCCTCCCATCCTGTTTTCGCTTCACAATCTCGCTCTTTTTTAGTACCGCTATTTTGTGGAGAATTCCTCCATCCATTGATGGATTCATCTCATACTATCCAGTGCTGTCTATTGCTTATTCTGTGTTTCCTGTCTTCACAGGTGTTTCACCGGAGTGCTGGTGTCCTGCCCTACCCCACCTTCATCCCTCTGATCCCAATGTGCATTCATGCTCTGAGCACTGTTGCCAAAACTGTCAGACGCGTGCCCCATTGCTACACTTACACGGCAAACCAAGTGCATGATGTTGTGTGTCAGTACCTAGCTGACATGACCAGTGACATCGGTTTCGGTATCCTGCCCTGCTGGATGTTTATTAAAAACTGTATATATCTTAATTTGTATTTACTGTATTGCATTTCATGAGCTTACCATGTTTTATTGTCCTTTTTAAGAGGCAGATCGAATCCACGTGCTGTCAAATCCTTTTCGTATTCCGTCAATCGCAAGCGTTTGTGGCGTGTGGGACAAACCACACTGTTGAAAAAATAAACACTATCCCCTTTCGCCTTCAGATTTTATTTTACAAGAAACCGGTATCTTTATCGATAACTGCTCGCGCACTAGGCCGATCAAAAGTTTTGGTTTTCTGCGTTTTTTTCAAAAAGGAATATCTTGGTACTTTGCAACTGTACCGTATACGGGCTGTTCGCCGACAACAATAAAGAGCGTAAACTGCCCTAGTGGCAAGCATGCTATCATTCCTTAGCCAGACTTCCCAGCTGAATTCGGTCTCTTGTTATATATAGGATTTTTGTTGAGGCAGCTTTGTAAGGATGCAAAGTACATCCTATTGATATGATTTCCCTGGACAAGATTATCGGGTGCTTACTTTTTGAAGATTTAGGCTTCCTCAAGTGTTCATTCTCCCCAAGAATTTAAGTCTTCATCTCTCCACACTACTTGCGGTTGAATGGCGGCCAAGCACTAGTACTTACTACACGTCTTATAAAGCAGGATGGTTATGGGTGTTCACCACAACAGTTAACATGGGCTTTTGTTTGGTTCGTTGAGCTGGGTAATTTGGTTGCAACTGTGAGTCGTTAACAGGCCAAATACGAACCTCATCACCTAATTTATCGTATGCTTCAGCTTAGCCGGCTTCGGGGCTAGATGACTAATCGGAGTTGCACAGACTGCCTTTTGATAGGGCCTTTATTAACTTGCCCTACCATAGCATTTGAAAATGCTGATCAAATCTGATCGCAATTCGGGAGGAATACTTTCGAGCACTCATCTTTTGATTCTCTGGAACTTCCCAAACTTGAGGTGGAAATCACACGTCTGCTGGTAGTATTCCTCATCATTCTGTCATTTTTGTGGAGGACTACATCATCCGTTCCGTTCACAACGGACCCTTCTGGCTCTTTTCGCGGCTATTTCAGTCACACTTAGTGAGCGCTGTGCACCGTTCAACTGAACCAGTCTGTCGTTTGCTTGGTTTCAGTTTGGAGAAAAGTATTGACTTTGGGGGGATTTTAATACCTGTAGAGTAAAAGCCCAACTAGCCAATAAAGAAATGGCCAGATGTTCTGTTGCACGAGCGTAGATCCTACTGCCCGAAAACATTTCAAAGCTGGAACACAAGTTGTTTTCATTGGTCCGTTTTTCACGTCACTTCTCCGATGAGCTCCGAATAATGAATCCTATAATTTTGCTGCAGGTTTGCAACGATATCCCTCTGGGCGATATCGTGAACCGGCTACCACGTAGAACATGAACCATTTTCCACGTAGAAGGGGGCGTGAGCTCAGTGATTAGAGCGCGACTTTAATGACCGAAAGGTCCGCAGTTCGAATCTGACCTCTGTCTCTTGACCTCCCCTGTCTAGCCTTGGACAATCTGGCAGTATCACAACCCTCGTGCTTCCTTCTGTTGGCATGGCAGTTAGGCACCGAAAGGGTGCTACAGCTGAACGATTTTTTCCGCCAGAAGTAACGTCGGTCACACCATGGGTATTCGTTTCGCAGAAAGCCTTTACCATGAGGAAACAGTGCAGTTCCCCAACCGTTGTTTTTTTGTGTCTCATGGCATAAGTGTGCATGTTTCTGTTTCATCTGTGCTGGCACTTGAACATTATTGCTCCCGTATTTGGTTGCTGACGGCCAACCTTCTTTGCATACTGTTTGAGCTATTTCACCAAACCGTTTCTCGTGCAACAAATCAAACACAACATCTTACCAGATTAGATTTTGAATAGCGATGAATTCATTTCTGACAGCGGGTTACGTTTCAAGCCGTTTGGTTGGGCCCACAAGTCATTTTAGGATTTCCTACGATCTCCATGGACACCTGAAAATTCACCGAGCTAAATTGCGTTCAGTTCGACTGGGACTATATTCTTCTCATCCTGGGTCAACGGCTTTCAATTTTCGAAGCTCAACACATTGGGATGCCGGGCGTGAATTGGCCTCCTGTACCTTTAGTACATCGCACGACCAGGAAATGCAGACGGGACAGCGTGCAAATTTGAGACTGATAACGACATAGTCCTCGCGATTCGACTCCACTCCTATCATACACCACGTGGCGTATTGGCAGTGAAATCATTTCATTCTATGTTTGCAGATAACATAGTTTAGACAATATAATGATCACCACTATTTTATCATTTGAAGCAGTCACGATTTATACTAACGACTGTAATAATCGGAAGCTGCTGGTAGAACGGAAACGGGGATAAAACAGCATTGGCCTGGGTATAACGTCGTTCAAACTTCAACACGCGAATAATCTTTCTATGCCAAATTAGTACTGACGATACAACAGGTCCTTATTTCTTGAGGAAACTGTTTGGATTTAGGGATGTTAATGCATCATTGCTATTCACCTAGGCGGGAGTGGATATGTGTAGCCACCGGCAGATGAAACGGAACATTCCAATTTTTTGTGTGCCATGAAAAGAATTCCTTAAAAGTCTCCAACTAAGAGGTATTCAAATCAAGGTCCAGCCTAGTGGTTTATATCCATTCATTGTTTAAAAGTGAGTGATACCGTAAGACACGTGTCCACCGAATTCACTGCGCTAAAAGTACGATCGTCCGCTCTCAGGCAAGGATCACTTCAGTCCCGCGGGTGTTGGTTTCAATTTAAAGTTAGTGGACGAGCACATCCCAACTAAAAACGCTATTCCTGAGTCACAGATTCACTTGCCAAGGAATTTCAGGGGGACAGCTCGTGGACAATGGTTTCCACTACACCGAAACTCCTCATTAGTAGCCACCTGCAAGAAAACTCGCAAAAGTTCTGACAAGGTGCCGGCTATCAACGTAAAAAATGGCTTGTCCAGTGCTAAGGCGCGAAATTTCACAATGGACATTCAATTGCTATCAGGAGTGTTTTTCTTTCACTCACTACTTTCATCCAATCTTCCCTTGACCAAACCAAGCGTTCCGTTCATGACGAGCTACTTACAGAACCTACCAAAATGTCGCAACAGGGATGCAATGCCTTGAGACAGATGA